ACTTCAGCTCCCAGAATTCCTCAGCCAGCATGCTCACTCAGGAATTCTGGGAGCTGAAGTTCACACATCTTAAAAGTTGCCAAGATTGAGAAACTCTGCACTAAGGCGGAAGCTTGTCCACCCCAAGGATAAAACACTCAAACACAAACTGAGCAATGCAATATGTGCAGTAGAATGTAACAAGACATGTATAGATCTCTACATTGGAGAAACAAAACAAACCACAATTGCATGGCACAACCTAGGAGAATAACTCCACCAGGACAAAGTTTAGCGGTCCATCTGCATTTGAAAGACAAAGGCCACTCTTTCGAAGACAGCAAAGTCCACGTTCTGGATAGAGAGGACCGCTGGTTTGAAAGAGGGGTCAAAGAGGCCATCTGTGTTAAAATCGAACAGGCCTCTCTCGACAGAGGGGGAGGGATACGACACCACTTACCTCCTGTCTCCAACACGGTCCTTGCAGTCGTCCCAAGAAGGTCCCAGGCCCATCTCCACACTGGTCCGGGTGACCCCGAGGATACAGATAAACCCCCAAGTGGCCTCAACGGCCCTCAGAGAGCTAATGACTTACCTTTGGGGTACTAAGGACCAGATGACTGCAAAGAATATAAATCGTTCCATTCCCCACCATTCAGCCAGAACTGAAGAAGCTTCTTGGATGAGAAGCGAAACGTTGGGGCATGTATATATACATATATACACATGCAGAGACTTGTTGGCATAGTTTGTTTATTCCAGGAATAGACAAATTATGTCTCTCTGTGTGGATATATATACATACACATATATGTGCATATTAGCATATTTTAGTAAATAGAACTATCTGTACGAAAAGCTAATATGTACATAGAAGAATGCCTATATATATTACTACATAAAAGCTGGTATAGGTAGGCCTTGAGTTAAACAGTTGATTTAGTGACAATTTGAAGGTATAACAGCTTATAATTGCAACATCCTCGTGGCATGTGATTAAAGGTCAGAAGCTTAACAACTGACTCGTACTTATGACGGCTGCCGTGTCCTGGGGTCAGGTGATTGCATTTTGTGACCTGACAAGCAAAGTCAATGGGGAAGCGACATTCGCTTAAGAACTATGTAACTAACTCAACATTTGCAGTTAACAAATGTAGCAAGAAAAGTCATTAAATTGAGCAAAACTCACTTAACAAAATGCCTCGCTTAGCAACAGAAGCTCTGGACTCAAATGTGGCCATTAAGTCAAGGACTACCTGTAATATATATAGCCATTCGCCCCGAAAGCTAGCTTACCATGGGCACCCCTTTATAATGGCACCCCCCCTCATAATGTGGAGGGAGGGTCCTTTTGGTGTTTGGGGATTTATAACAGCCCAGGAAGCTAGAAGTAAAACACATAACAACTGCACAAATATATCAAACACAACAACATTGCATCAACGCAGCGGTCCTTTTACTGGACACTGGAAGGTTGGCCTTCAACTCAAGACGGGAATCCATGTGGCTGGTCCAGATGAGTCTGAACTTCGTGGATCTTGGCAGTTGCTCCAAGAGACATGTGGCCCTCCCACCCACCCAAAGAAGCTCAGCCATCTCCAAAGCCTCCCACCACCCGGTTGCAGCTACTCCGCCGTCGTCAGTAGCAGAGCGCCATGGGTTCCAGCGTCAGGAAGTGGACGGGCATCTTGGTCTGTCGATTCCTTTTCATATCTGGCATTGGAAGGAAAGAAAAAAACAGAGTTAGAGGAGAAGACAATTTCTGATCTTGCAAATTTTCAGTGGTACTTCAGAAAGGAGCAAATGTTACATTCCAGAATGACTCACAGTTGACTTGGCCTTAGATTTTTCCCCAAAAATAGCTGGTGGGAGAGAGATTCACTCCAAAGGGGATGCAGGGACTTTGCTTGGTCCTGCATGGGGTGGCTTCCTCTTGTGAACCCTTTGCCCTCCTCCCTTAAGGAGGACTCTTTTCTGCTTTCCTTGGGCCAGCTAACCTAACCTTACCACCCTTGTAACGTTCGTAACACCTTTCTCCAATTTCAAATTGAAATGGAATAGTCCACTAAGCAAACAGGCACCAGGGTTGTCTACCCCTACAGAGCTGAAGATAGTTGGGATTCCCATCTTCCGTTCTGGCTCCTATGCTTGAGAAGCCACAAGGCCAGGCCGGGAAAGACAAACATATGGCTGCAACTATTCTGTGGTTTGCACAATTAATGAATATAGATTAGCTATGAATGTCTGTAATGAATCATCACTTCCGGTTCTGTAAATATATATCCTGCATGTTTTCATTTCTTTTTTTTAGCTTGTCCCTTTAGAATTTGGTGCTTTTTTTATATTTATTAATTAGAAAAAGAGATAAAAGAGGCTGTATTTTTTTTCTCTTTACACAAGACTCCAGGGGGCACTTGGAAGGGGGAAAAAAAGTCACAAAAAAAGTCAAAGCCTGCCTGTTTTTTACATAGGCTGCATGAAGGATTGTACTGTTAACTTTTATTAATAAAGTTGATAATATTTCCACAAAAGTCTTTTTTATACCATTTGGCCTGTACATTTATAGTCAGGATGACACGACATAAGGAAAAAGAGGCAAGGAGAGAGAAGGAAAACTCAACACACTGGATAACTACTACGTCTCTTAAATTATTCAACCAGTGAGATATCACACCACGAGTATTTTTACTCGAGTGGGTATATGATGGCTCTACTGCATTCATTTCACTTTTAGCAGCAGTTATGTTACAAAAAGTGTTTTTTTTTCCCTATTTATGATTTGTGTGATACCCCCACCTTTCTCCATGGATTACAAGCAAAAAAAGATATTGCAGGGAGGGAAAAAGAGAGCAAGGGAGAGATGAAACAGAGAAGAGATATAGAGAGATCGATAGACCAATGGATAAGCAGGTGAAATATAGATGAGATAAAGAGATATAAAATGTGAAGATATAGACAAAAGAGTGAGGTACAGAGATGAAAAAGAGAAAAGGTGGATAAAGATAGAGATGAAATAGAGATGGATGAATAGATAAGATAGATAGATAGATAGATAGATAGATAGATAAGATAAGATAGATAGATAGATAGATAGATAGATAGATAGATAGATAGATAGATAGATAGATAGATAGATAAGATAGACAAATAGATGATAGACAATGAATACAAAGAACAAAACAGTAACAGAGGCAGAAAACCTGTCCGGATGTTGGTAAACTACAACTCCCAGCAGCCTCAGGCCAGAGTAAGGGATGCTGGGGGCTGTGGTCCAACAGCATCTGGAAATCTATGTTTGGCCCCATCTCTAATTTTCTTCTATCGTGCTCTTGATAAAGATTAGTGAATGAAAGAAGTTGACATGAGGATCAAGATGAATCCCCCTTGAAGGCACCAAGACCTTAGCCAAGCTCTTCATCGTTTCTCCTCCTCAGGTTTTCCAATATTACTTGGGGGATCTCCATCTTCTGAAATGCTCCATGTAGTTGCTTCTAAAGTTGGTCTGTGTTGTGTCAGACCTGGGCACAGCTACCCAACCTTTATGATTGTGGCACTGAAAGCCAGAGTGGAAAGACACACATCTGAGAAAGTCCTCAGTGCATCCTCAGAGCCAACCCAAGGACCCGGGTGATGGTCCTACGAGCAAGGAATTCATGTTGCTTCCAAGCAACATCCTTTGTGTAGCCGTGCAAGCCAGTTGTGTGAAGGTGTGGTATCTTAGAATGCTTACATCCCCCATGGAGGACAACCCAATCAAATATAAAATCCCAGCCATTTGAAAGAGAAATGGCAATAGACCAGGGGTAGGCAACCTTGGCTCTTGTATGACTCATGGACTTCAACTCCCAGAATTCCTGAGCCAGCATGGCTCAGCTTGGAAGCTCTCTTTCCCCTCAACATGGCTGGCTCGAGAATTCTGGGAGTTGAAGTCCACGAGTCATCAAAGAGCCAAGGTTGCCCAGCCCTGCAATAGACCAACATAAGGTTGACCTCGGGGAAGATACAGATGGTTAGCAAAATGGGAGGTCAGCTCAAGAAACAAGACCACGTCAGAATGAAATTCAACTAGGCTACCCTTGCCATGAAAGGAAGGGAGAGAAAACACCCGTCTTTCAAGATGCTGTAAGAGCTGGTCTCAATGCGCTTCCTTGGCCTCTGCGCGCACAGACAGGTTCAGCATGTCACTGGTTCACCTTGTCTGGCCAATCTGAGAAGAAAACCCTAGGAGTGTATTTTATTTTTTAAAAAACCTTTCCACTGGGTGCCTGGAAAAAAAAGGGAGCCACAGAGTCCTTCAGTGGCTCTTCAACAAGGTCTCCATGTTTAATTGCAGCTACATGCAACTGGTTGTTTAATTAAAAACAGGTGCAGTTATTCAAGTGCGCAGTAAATTGGAACAAACGCAAAGAAAACCCTAGGAGTTGTTGTTGTTGTTATTGTTATTATTATTATTATTGTTATTGTTATTTTTAAAAACCTTTCCATTGGGTACCTGGAAAAAAAGGGAGCCCAGAGTCCATCAGTGGCTCTTCAAAATGGTCTCCATGTTTAAATGCAACTGGCCCTTTAATTAAAAGCAGGTGCGGTTATTCAAGTGCGCAGTAAATTGGAACAACCGCAAAATAAAACCCTAGGAGTTTATTTTATTGTATTTTATTGTATTGTATTTTATTTAAAAAGCCTTTCCACTGGGTGTCTGGAAAAAAACGGAGCCCCGGAGTCTATCAGTGGCTCTTGAACAAGGTCTCCATGTTTAAATGCAACGGACGTGCAACTGGCCGTTTAATTAAACGCAGGGGGCAGTTATTCAAGTGGGACTTAATTCTTAATTTTACCACAAATGGCTATGTACACTTAATCCCCCCCAGGTATGAACGTTTATTTAGCCAGTGTTCCCCAAAACGGACTCATTCACAAAGGCTACTCACTGTTACACGTGCAAAACCGCCACCAAAAGCGCCTCTGCAGCCACGTGGCTCGGAGAGGAGAAGCCGGAAGTGGAGGGGTTTTTTTTTTTTTTTTTTGGTGCCTGGTCACATGGCCGAAGGAGATTGGGGGATTTTTGCAAGACCTGCTTTGCTTTTGCTTTCCTGGAGCTGCCTGGGTGACCTGCTGCTTGCTGGCCTTGACGACTAGAGAGCTAGAATTACTTCTGCAAGTATTTTAAAATATTCTTTTTTGTTACTCTGTGGAACTGGACTTCTGTCGTTTGCAATCCCTTTGGGAACTGCTCTGCTTCCTGTTGTGTTGGTAAGTGCAGCACTTTGCAAGATGGTTTGTTTGCATCTGCCTCACATTGGTAGTCTGTGGCTGCTGCTGCCTCCTCCTGTCCCTGGCGCAGACCCAGCAGAGATTCTGCAGACCCCTTAACTGCAGGGGGCTTCCAACTGGCCCTTGTATGACTTATGGACTGCAACTCCCAGAATTCCTCAGCCAGGCATGCTGGCTGAGGAATTCTGGGAGTTGAAGTCCACAAGTCATCAAAGGGCCAAGTTGGAAGACCTTTGCCTTATATGGTTGACAGTTGATTGAACCTCTAATGCTGGCACTAGAACTGTTCCTTTGGACAACACAGGTAGCTCTCAACTTACAACCACAATTTCCATTGCTAGGCAAGGTAATTGTTGAGTCGTGCCTGATTTTATGACCTCTTCGGTGAATCCCTGCAATCAAGCGAATCGTGCGATTGTGAAATGAATCCAGCATCTCTCGTTGACTTTGTTGGTCAAAAGAGGGCTGGGAAGATCGCCATTGGTGATTCCATGACCCCGGGATGCTTGTTGGAAAACATCGTGTGTGCCTATTTCACAGTTCTCATTCAGGTAAAGAGTTTGTATATTTAATACCTGCTCTGCCTTCCTCTCCCTGGAGCACTTAAAATGAAAGAAGAAAAAAAATTCCCCTGGATCATTTTCACAACAGACTTGCAGAGTTTGGGCGAGCGTTTTATTTTTCCCTATCATTTTGCTATTTCTAATTTTTAAAAGCTGGTCCATATTTTTTTTATTATTTTATTTTTACAGTTTATTTATTTATTTATTTATGAGACTTATATACCGCTTTAAGTGCAAGCACTCTCTAAGCGGTGTACACCAGTAAGCAATGTATATATATATTTACATTGATCTGATCCCTTTCAAGATCCTGTTGCTTTCAAGCATGAAACTTTCTTGCTGGGGAAAAAAAAAAACTTATCACTGGTATACAGATTAGGCAAAGAGATATCTCTTTCTCTCTCTCTCTCTCTCTCTCTCTCTCTCTCTCTCTCTCTCTCTCTCTGTGTGTGTGTTTTAAAAAGAATGTACGAGTCCAGTTTTTTCTCCCCCCCCCCTTTTTTTTTTTTTTTTTTGGTTTCTGTGCATACAGTCATCAGAAAATCCTGTACCTAGAATTTGGGGCCCTGTCAAACATCTTATCCGCAGCTAATCTTTTCAAAGTATGCATTTAATGGGGAAAATGTGGAGGCTGAATTGTCCTTCTTTCAAAGTAAGCCTTGCTTTGCAACGCTGGCATCTCCTTTCCCATGTGAGTAAGGAAAGGCGCCCATTTATCTTCATTTAGTCACAGATAGGTCAGCCAAACCCACTGCTGTCTACCCCAAACAAATGTGACATTTACAAACCGTTGGGATGTCATAGGCTAGGAGATGAAATCTCAGGGGTTTATTTCCCAAACATCTGTCTCTGGTTTCAAAACCCACTTAAAGACTTGTGTAGGTTCTCACTGGCTATAGATATACATATACGTGTGTGTGTGTGTGTGTGTGTGTGTGTGTGTGTGTGTGTGTAGCATGCCACAGGTGGCACGCAGAGCCCTGTCTGTGGGCATGCAAGCCGTCGCCCCAGTCCTAGGCCTTCAGCTGGGTTTTATAAAACTTTTTCGCTTTAGGCCTCCACCACCATGTGCAAAAAAAAAAAAAAGGTTCAATCAATCAATTTCAACTTCTCGCAGGAAAAAAAAACATCTTGCAAAGTTGGAATTGATTGATTGAACTTTTTAGTCCCACCCAGTCTGCCGTTACCACTGCAGCCACGCCCACCCCATGGGCCACACCCACCCCATGGGCCACACCCACCCAGCACCCGATGATACATAAGTGGGTTTTGGGTTGCAGTTTGGGCACTTGGTCTCTAAAAGGTTCGCCATCAGTGCCCTATAACATTTCAGATAAATGGCTGTCCAGTCTCTTTTTGAAAACTTCCAATGATGGAGTCCCTACAACTTCTGGAGGCAAGTTGTTCCACTGATTAATTGTTCTGTCGGGAAATTTCTCATTAGTTCTAGGTTGCTTCTCTCCTTGATGAGTTTCCATCCATCCATTGCTTCTTGTCCTACCCTCAGGTGCTTTGGAGAATAGCTTGACTCCCTCTTCTTTGGGGCAGCCCCTGAGATATTGGAAGACTGCTCTCCTGTTACCCCTAATCCTTTATTTTATTAGACTAGACATTCCCAATTCCTGCAACTGTTCTTCGTACATTTTAGCCTCAAGTCCCCTAATCATCTTTGTTGCTCTTTAATGCAAAGAGTCGCCCGGTGAGTGAGATAGACAGTCTCTAAATTTGATCGATAAAATATAAAATAAATACAAGAATGCCGGGCTGATGTTTTGCAACAGACAAAGCACCCAGGAACCCCCATGTGAGGGGGAAAAAAACATGAGATAAAGCAAAAACTCAGAGAAATACTGTTTATAAACATTACTGCCTGCCATCTTCCCTTCTACTGCTCCCCCAGTGTTATCTACACATATCTACAAATATCTACAAATTATCTACATATTTTGCAGATATGATTCTTTGGTTCCACTGATTTTTTTTCCCACTCTTTCTCTTTACACAGCAACTATAAAGGGGGGAAAAAAGAACCAGCAGGAACTGCATACGTAATCACTTGGGAGGGGGTGGAGTAGGGGTGGGAAGAGGAATAATATAATATTAATAAATATATCAATGTCACAATAGGTTTGACTCCAGCCTTTGGCACTGATCCTTCCACGACGTTCGAGATCATCAAGCAGAACACAAAAAAAGAGAGAGAAAATTGCTTTCTCAAAGTTACGATGCACGCAGGACAGCCAAATTCTTCCAAATGGATCTTACACAGGTTCTTAAAAGGATCCTACAGCGAAATTCGTTTAAAAAAACAAAACAAAACCATTTTTTTTTTCATTTTTACGGCGTGAAGTTTGCCAGCTGCTGTATTCTTCTGCTTTGCCACTGCTTAAACCGGATAAAACAATGCACAAAAAAAACCAACAATGTATAAAGGCTACAGCTGGTTTATGCCCGCACCTGTCCTGAAGGCTGCCCAAAAAATAGCATGCTTGGCTGCTGATATTATCCTGGGACTTTAAGCTTCTGCATTTGGGGGGGGGGGCTGGAGGGGGGGGAGGAGAGAGGCCAGAAAGATTGAGGCATGGTGAACAAGAAGCTGCAGACGGTGGAATGAAATGCACAAAGAAGTTATTTTCCCAGACCTGGGCAAGTTTAGGCCGTGTCAGAAACGGCAAAGAAAGGCGTCTATTAATGCAAAACGAAGGCATCCTTTACAAAAGAAAAAAGCCGAAAGAGTGACCCCTGTGAAGAATTGTGTAGATTTGCAACGTGTTAGCAGTGGAGTGAGAAGGAAGCTAGGGACGTGGTAGGCAGCTTCTGCCTTTGAGCATCGACCACCATCATGATTTCTCGTCCTGTGGTTCTTGCACCGAGATAAAAGACTAAAGGAGGCGGGGGGGGGAAAGAGGAGCAGTTTGGATTGTGACACCTCTTCCCACCCCCTCCCAACCGCCCCTAACCTGGCCAACTTACTCTTAAGAGGATGATGCTAGTACTGGTCCTTGTGAAGAGATAAATCTCAGTTCCAGGGAAGAGGCAATCCAAAAAAACATTGGTTTTATTCCAGCTTGGGGAAGGGGGTTCGACTAGAAGACCTCTAAGGTCCCTTCCCACTCTTGTTTATTCCGTTGTGGGGTGCTTACAGATTCTGAGCTGCATCTCAGCCGACTGCCGGGGGGGGGGGGAAATAAATAAATAAATAAGACCCTTGACCTTCTTAAAAAAAAACTCTCCTGCTTCTTGGAGGTGGGGGGGAGATGTTTTCTCAGAGTTTCCCCCTTGGGGAACAGAGATTTTTTTTTTCCGTCCCATTGGCATCCACTGCCCCTAATACACTGTTGGGATGGGGAATACAGATAGTCCTCGGCTTACGAACACCCATTTCTGTCGCTAAGTGAGGCAGGGTTTTTTGCCCCCGTTTGATGACCTTCCTTGCCGCCTTGGTTTAAGTCAATCGCCACAATTGGTGACGTTCGCAACAGCTCCGTTAAGCGAGTCCAACTTCCCACCTTTACTTTTGTCCCAAGGTTGCAAAAGGGGGGGTGGGAAACAAGTGACTCCCCCGGGGACACTGCGGCCGTCATAAATGTGAGTCAGTTGCCAAGCGTGTGAATTTCGGTCGCCTGACCGTGGGGATGTCAGAAGTCCCTTTTTTTCAGAACGGACACTAAAGGAACAGTTGTAAGTCGAGAACCACCTGTATTCATGAAATCCATGCTTCTGGCGGGTGGGCTTGGCCGGGCTTCCTAGATGCCTTGTTAGTGACAATGAGAATTCCAGGACTTAAGGACAAGGTCGGCCTGGCACCGGCCCAAAACGGGGGCCTGGATCAGGACAGGCTGTGTGGCAGGGGATCAAGAGATGCCACAGTCAGCATGTCAGTGCGCACCCTGCCCATGCCTGTCATGTGCTTGCATATGCCAAGCACATGCCCCCGTGTGACAGCTGGCTCCAGGTCAGGAGAGACTGCACGCTCTGACAATCGTCAGCTGTGCCCGTCACTCAGAAGACTAAAGGAACTGCCCAGAATTGTAGACAGTTGATCTTGATTGTGTTAGGGAGGCAGGCAGGGGTGCACAAGAACCAGGGTGGCGCAGTGGTTAGAATGCAGCACTGCAGGCTAATTCTGCAGGTCCACTGCTGGCAGTTCGATCCTGACCGGCTCAAGGTTGATTCAGCCTTCCATCCTAAAATGAGGACCCAGATTGTTGGGGGGCAACAGGCTGACTCTGTAAACCGCTTAGAGAGGGCTGTAAAGCACCGTGAAGCGGTATATATGTCTAAGTGCTAATGCTATTGCTGTTCTGTTCTATTCTACAGCCATGGTGGCGCGGTGGTTAGAATGCAGTATTGCAGGCTAACTCTGCCGACTGCCAGCAGTTTGATCCTGACCGGCTTAAGATTGACTCAGCCTTCCGTCCTTCTGAGGTCGGTAAAATGAGGACCTGGATTTGTTGGGGATAATAGGCTGACCCTGTCGACCGCTTAGAGAGGGCTTTAAAGCACGGTGACACGATATATAAGTCTAAGGGCTATTGCTATTGTTCCAGCATATTTGTAATGCAGATTGGTGTACTCCGGGGGTGGGGAACCATGGCCCCTTTATGACCTGTGGACTTCAGCTCCCAGAATTCCTGAGCCATACCCAGATGGGGCAATCTCTACAGGGTCAGAAGTAGACTATTGTGTCAATCAGTTGCTCCCACCTTCTTCCCAATAGAGATAGCTGAGATTGGATCACCAACATTGTAAAACGAGTCCTGGTAGGTGACGTGGTCCCCACTGGGAAGAACGGTAACTGGGCGATGGGGAACATACAGGTAGTCCTTGACTTACGACCACAATTGAGCTCAAAATTTCTGTTGTTAAGCAGGGCAGTCGTTAAGTTGTCCCTCATTTTATGACTTTTGCAACAGTCGTTCAGCGAATCGTTGCAGGTGTTAAATGAATCATGCTGTCATTACGTGAATCTGGCTCTCCATCCCCCCTCCCCTCAATTGACTTTGCTTGTTGGAAGCTATTCCCAGGACAATGCAACTGTCACAAGTACATGCCAGTTGCTAAGTGTCCGAATTTTGATCCAGTGACTTGGGTGGCTGTTGTAATGATGGTTAGTGTGAAGAACAGCCGTTAAGTCACTTGTTTTTAGTGCCGTTGTAACTTTGAAAAGTCACTAAATGAAGTGGTAGGTCAAGGACTCCCTGTATAGCGCTGTATCAGTGCTAGAGCAGCCAGGAAATGATACACCCTAACACTTTGTAAGGGAGGTGGGAACTGCAGCTGCACATAAAGGGGTCAAGGGAAAGGCTGAGGAGAAACTGCCCTTCTAGCCTCACAGCAGCGACGACGCAAAGCAAATCCAAGAGAACGCCAGCCTCCCATTACTCCACCACAACGCCTCTAACATGAGCTAAATATTACATCCCCCGGATAGAACAAGACAACGTGAATCTTGAACGACGTGTCCAACAACAGTGGTGGAAGGATGGTGCCAGGAAGAAAACCGTGTGCACAAGGGACGATGGCAGATTCCCCTCCCCACCCCAAGTCAACAAAACGGGCATCTCTTCCCAAAGGTACTGAGCAATTCACACCATGCAAAGAGTCAATCCGAGCTCAAGGATCTTGCATCGGAGATGTTATCTCGGTCCGTAGTCGTAGCTTGTGGGAGCGCCAGCAGAGGAATACATGTTGGCGGCAGCCGCAGCTGCAGCAGCGGCAGCAGCTGGATTCATGTGATGGTGGTGGTGGTGGTGGTAACTGTGTCCCCGGATAGTAGGCAAGGGATAGGGGGCTGGCCGGCTCTTGGCTCCTAGATAATGGTCGTAAGCTGAGACCGGATGCTTGTAGGGGTGGTGATGGAGAGGCTCGGAAGCAGGGGGTTCCAGCCGCAACTCGTGATGGGGGGGACTAGGCCGGCTTCCAGCTGGACTAGGGAGTGGAACCAAGCCGCCTCCACCCGGAACCGGGAGTGCTGGACTTAACACCCGAGACATGAGCTGCTGATGAGTTGGATCAGCGTGGAGTGGTGTCCCACTAGCCGATTCCCGTTCATATTCCCGTCGACTGTCCACTATATCTGCAGCACATGATAGAACAGGAAAGAGGAGCGGGGGAGAAAGTATAAGAAGGGGTCAGCGACGTGTGACATCTCCAAGACTCTAGTTAGTGGCCTCTGCAGTGTAAATGCGTAGGGCAGGGGCCTCTAAACTTGGCAGCTTTAACACAGGTGGACTTCAACTCCCAGAATCCCCTGGCTTTGCAGAGACATCTAATTGGCCATTTTTTGCCTGATTCAGCAAGGATGATTCTTAACGATAGATTTGTTAAGCCATAGTCCACATTCATTCCGCAGGTTGTGTAAATCCAGGTGATGCCCCGGAGTAAGCTACTCTGTTCTAGATTCTATTTTGTTAGTTGGATAACAACTGCGGCCGAAAAGGTTGTGAAAATGGCAAACAAAACTCACTTAGCCACTGTCTCAAGAGGAGCAGAAATTTTGTGCTCCACTGTGGTGGTACGTCAAGGACTACCGGCTTTGCAAGGTTACACTAACACAGTGATTCTCAACCTGTGGGTCAGGACCCCATTTGGGGTCGAACGACCATTTCACGGGGGTCGCCAAACAATGTAGTCCGCCATTTTTTCCCCCTTTTTCCTTAGCTGTGCTATTCCCTTTTATTCTATTGGCTTTTGAAAGCCAATAGAAGAGACTCTCTTGAATAGAGTCTAATTCTATTGGCTTTCAAAAGCCAATAGGAATTGTCTAGGCTGTCTCTGCCCTGCTGAGCCCGCCAAAAGTCCCATTCTGCAAACGGTGCTGCACCAGTGGAGTAGTCCTCGACTTACAGCCGGTTGAGTAGTCCTCGACTTACGACTGGTTGGGGGTCACGGCATTAAAAAAGTTGAGAACCACTGCACTAACAGAATGGCAAGACTGAAAGCATTTTTCCCCCTCTCCCCTTCTACCCCCCAGAAAACTTGGGAGGGTCCCTTGCGAACTTTTTCCCACACCCTCTCTCCTCCTGTTGGGCTGGGAAATGTTGTCCATGCTGTTTGTTCAGTCTGCAACTCTTCCTTCTCCCTCAAGGTCATTCTCACATACCATTCTGTCGAGATAGCTGCAAGTTCCCCTTCACCTAGGCTTAGGAATTTCTTGGCACGTCTCCAGCCTTCCCTGGGTTAACCAGACAGGAAACCTGTCTAGATGCACTAAACTTCTACTTTATTGTAAAAGTTTATAATAACAGCATACAAACTTCCCACCCACCCCCCTTTTAATTGCCTGAGCAATTAAGGTGGGTCCTTCCTAAATTTCTTCCTCTGATTGTTTAATCCGCTCTTGGGGGGCCCTGCCGCTCTTGTCTGATTGTTTCCTAGGCTGCATCTTCCCCCAAGGTCACCCACGTATTCCATTACGTCATGCCGTATATCAGTTTCATTCTGTTCCTGTTCTTGCACTCCTGAGGTTGCGGAGTGAAAGCATGAAACCTACTTTACAACGGAATTATAAAGGCGTAGGGATCAGGTTCCCTATGCAAGGACAGGTGCAGTGCCCAGATGTTTCAGTTCATTAGGTCCAGCATCTGCAGAGAAGGCGAGCAAACCACACAACTTTGGGCTAGTCTTCTACATTCCGGATCGCAGAATTCTACATTCTACATTCAGTGTAGAATTGAGGGTCAATGTCAATTCTGCATTCAGTGTAGAATGTAGAAGCTAACCTTCTCCATTCTACATTAATTGACACAGAGTCATCTATTCTGTCTTTGCCCCCTTCTGTCACTTTCTTCATTTTGTGTTTGGTGCTGGGAAGTAGCCCCCCAGTCTTAAAAAGCATCTAGGTTGTCCTTACCCTAGAAATTCAGAAGGAGGAAAAATAAGCTTCCTACCACCGTGAGGAGAAGGTTCAAGGGATCATCTGACACTATTTCACCAAGATGGGAGCCGCTAAGCTAAGTAGCTGTAGCTGTTCTTGTGTGCTCTGGACACAGAGCTGTCTTCGTCTTCAGATGGAAAGATGGCACTATCTCAGATACTTTAATTCAGATGCAAGACTTTCTGATGAAGTGGGTTGTGATCCACCAAAGAGGAAGCTTGAGATACTAGACTGCTTGGTCTTTAAGCTGTCTCAGGACACCTCAGAGTTATAATGCCCCTACTAATCAAGAGAATATTGGATCTGGTTGTTCTTTTTATTGGAATTGGGTATGTCTAGCTTAATGAAAAGAAGGACTAGGGGTGACATGATAGCAGTGTATCAATATCTGAGGAGCTGCCACAAAGAAGAGGAGCACCAAAGCCCCTGAAGGCAGGACAAGAAGCAACAGATGGAAACTAAACAAGGAGAGAAGCAACCTGGAACTAAGGAGATTTTTCCTGATGGTGAGAAGAATTAATCAGTGGAACGGCTTGCGTCCAAAAGTTGTGGGTGCTTCAACACTGGAGGTTTTTAAGAAGAGATTGGGCAACCATTTGTCTGAAATGGTATCGGCTCTCCTGCTTGAGCAAGGGGTTGAACTAGAAGACCTCCAAGATCCCTTCCAACTCTGTTCTGTTGTTTTTTTTTAATGTCTCCTGCTCTGAAGTCACCTGTGAGGTTCAGAAATACCTTTTCACCCCCACCTTCATGACAAGGCAGTTCCACGGAAAGCCAGCACAATGTTTTCTCCACAAGAAGGAAACAAACGGAGACTTCTCAGTGTGTTTGTGTGATTGTGAGTGTATAGGTATGCACACTGCGATTGCTTTTCAGACGGACTGTTTGACATGAACAGAGACGAGAGTAAGAATGCAGAAATATCCCAAAGTTTAGGTTTTTCTTTCTTCCTTCCTTCCTTCCTTCCTTCTTCCCTTCCTTCCTTCCTTTCTTCCTTCCTTCTCTTTTTCTTTCTTTCTCTTTTTCTTTCTTTCTCTCTTTCTTTCTTCCTTCCTTCCTTCCTTTCTTTCTTTCTTTCTTTCTTTCTTTCTTTCTTTCTTTCTTTCTTTCTTTCTCTCTGTCTCTCTTTCTTTCTTTTTTTAAAAAGATGAACTGTTTGACATAGTGTTCAGCAAAGAGCCCAGCTCCCGAGACAAGGCATTTCGACTTTGATAAATCGAGCGGGGTTGAGTGACACGTTTGCACACGCCTGAAATTTTTGCAATTGTATAACGCTAAACAAATAGAGGCTTTTCTTTATTTTAATAGGCTCGGAGTGCGCTGGGAGAAAGGGCCCCCCTCTCTTGTTCTTTCTACTTCTCCTGAGCAACTGTTTATTCTGTGTAATGGAAATAGAATCAGCGAGAAAGCTTAAATAGATCTCTGGAGCAGGTTTTTGAGGAGGTTAAAGGCAATTACTGGGTATTGTTGGGGAGTCTTTCTTTTTTCTTCCTTTCCTTTCCTTTCCTTTCTTTCTTTTTTGCAACTTCTCCCACAACCTATCCTTTTGTTTGTTTGTACAAGAAAATTGCTTGTGTAAAATAGCTCTTGTGGAAACACCGGGAATTCGTTTACAGGGTAAATGAACAATAAAAAAGATACATGGGGGGAGGGGGGGAAAATGAGTCATATTTAATGTGAATTGGTTGTAAGTTTACACGGGAGGGCAAAGAAAATATTAAATCCTTGAGCAGATGGTAAGAAAACCCTGAACATTTAATTCAATGAAAGTTCGATTGGAATTCCAATTGTATTTGTACATACATTGGAATAGCAAGTTAATTTTCTTTTTAGGATTGATGGGGTGAAATAGATTGGGCTGTGTTCGAAGCCGGTTGCTTTATTCCAGCTTTGCTCTGGGGGGGGAGGGCTGTCAGCTCGGTGGGTGACAGGCTGATCTGTTAGGAATCTCATGAACCCCAATGAAGCCACAGGGTTGGAGATCTTCCTTGGAACTGCAAGCGACATCTCCACGTTAGGTAGTCCTCGACTTACAGCTATTCCTTTAGTGACCGTTCCAAGTTACAACGGCACTGAAAAAAAGGGACTTAGGGCCCTTTTCACACTTACGACCCTGCGGTCACTGATCAAAATCGTGTATTTGTATTTATGATGGTCGCAGTGCCCAGGGGGACTGTCGCGCCATTCCCCTTTTGACAAGCAAAGTCAACGGGGGATGCCAGGTTTGTTTAATAACCGTGTTATTATTTTAACAACTGCAGAGATTCCCTTAACAACTTTGGCAAGAAAACGGGGCAAAACCCACTTAACAACTGTCTCCCTTAGCAGTGGAAATTTTAGACTCGGTTTTATATATAATCAAGGACTACCTGTATGATTAAGCTGTAGCTTAATTCAGCCGTTCAGAGAAAGACAGACAGAATAATTGAGGTCATTCACCTGCCCACCCCAGGCCAGAATTTCTGCAGTGAGGACCCAAATGGTTGGAGGAAATTTGCTGAGATTGTAAACCGCTGTAAAGCACTAGGGAGCAGCATGTAAGTCTAAATGCTCTTGCTATAGTCTCTCCTGAGTACATCTTTCTCTCTGGACAATGCTCTTTCGTCCATTCTTTGCTTGTCAACCCAGAGTTATCAGAGGTTGCATCCACACAACTCATCCATGGAGGTTCTCAGTCATCCAGGTCCCAAAGGCACTTTTTCTGGAGGCAACTGGACTTTCTTGTTTTTTGTTTGAAGACGTTTCGCTTCTCCTCCCAGAAGCTTCTTCAGCTCTGACTGGATGGTGGGGGAATGGAAGGATTTATACTCGTTGCAGACAGCTGGTCATTTGCCTTCTTTTGGAGGGTCATTGAAGCCACCTGGAGGTTTATCTGTGTCCTCAGGGTCACCTGAGTGGTGCAAATGGGTGTGGAACCTTCACAGATAAACCTCCAAGAGGCCTCAACGGCTCTCTCAAAGGATGCAAATGACCAGCTGTCTGCAAGGAGTATAAATCCTTCCACTCCCCCACCATCCAGTCAGAGCTGAAGAAGCTCCTTCGATGAGAAGTGAAACATCTTCAAAGAAAAAACAAGAAAGTCCATTTGCCTGTTGAAAAAGCACCTTTGGGGTTCACACAGCTCATTCAAAGCAGAACTATCCTAACCTCAGAGGTTTATTTATTTTTTATTTATGAGACTTAGATACCGCTTTAAGTGCAAGCACTCACTAAGCGGTGTACACCAGTAAGCAATGTATATATATATATTTACATTGCCCCCAACAATCTGGGTCCTCACATCACTGCTGGGTGTGGTTAGTTTTAAGCTGGCTTGGTTTTGTGGGCTTCAGCTGACACGCTAACCTGGAGACTGTTTGGTCGTTCATTGCGTTATTACGGAAAAACGTGCTACTGCAATTTGACTAGCCTTCAAATATTTCCTGAACAACGCTACTGAAAGTTCTGCCTTTTCCCAAAATAAACAGGACCCAGAATGTTTCATTGACGAACTGAACAGCTACTGTTAACTTACACACCCTTATTCTTTGCAGGATTCTTTGCACCCCAGGACAACATTTGCTTGTAGGGACCTGTTGTTGTTTTTTTTCCCAGGTAGACTCAGATTGCTGGATGGTGATACAGCTAGTTGGATCAATTTTGCTCCCCCCCCCCGCCACCCTCTGAAGTCAAACCACCTATTTACAAAGCTGGCTGTCTTGGGAATTAAATCCTTTTGATGAGTTTGCAAGGAGATGCATTAAGAGCAAAATTCCCCCCCACACACACACACACCCGAAGAAGAACCAGATCAGCCAGGAAAAGCACAATAAAAGATCAGCCACTAAGAGCCCAGTAAAGAAGAGCGAACTTCCATCTCTTAAATCCTGGTTAGACGTTTTGCTCTTTGTGATTTCTTGTAATCCTCTAAAGCAGACTGGCAAATTGCCAAGCGCTGTGTCTTAACTAGTTAGCTGATCTGGCGGTGCATCGCCTTTAATGGCAGGTCCCTGTGCGTCACTCCCTTAAGACCCAAGGGTGCACTTTCGGAGGGCGAAGGGAGAGCAAAATCCCGCACGGCAGGGTTGACGTGGACCCTAAAGGGGGCAACCTTAAGGCCCCGTCCACACAACAGACATGGCTGGTTTTGTGGGGCTGACGGCACCGTAATGGTGCTTTCAAGTAGCGTTGCCTGAAATCCATGTTAATGTTGGAATGGGTGGAGATTTATAGTTTTAAAATGATTTTATGTGGCTTTTAATGTTTGATTGGGAATTGCCCAGAGACAGACAGACAGATGATATAGATAGGTGATAGATGATAGATGATAGATAGATAGATAGATAGATAGATAGATAGATAGATAGATAGATAGATAGATAGATAGATAGGAATGATAGAGATGATAGAGATAGATAGATAGATAGATAGATAGATAGATAGATAGATAGATAGATAGATAAGAAATAGATATAAAATGATTAATAGAGAGATATAGCAAGAGAGAAAGATAAATGAATGATATAGAGATTATATAGGCAGGCAGACAGGCAGACAGACAGACAGATGGTAGATGGTAGATGATAAATGATATAGATGATAGAAAGATATAGAAGATAGAGATTGATGATTGATAGATAAAAATATGATTGATAGAGACAGAAACTGAAATAGCAAGATAAAGAGAGAGATGAATGAATGATAGATGGAGATTAGAGAGAGAGAGAGAGCATTAGATGACTGGGGGTGATGGACACGGAATTATCCATAAGGAAATGACTAAGCTCCCCCCTTTTTGGCTACTTTTTTCCTGTGCAGCCGTGACTATCCTAGAGTGATAGTGCAGGTGGACTCACCTTTGTCCGTTCCATTTTGGTGCACTGGGGAAGACACAGGATTTCTCGACCTCGCGAAGGCGCTCATGAGAGGCAGGGCTCCTGGTCGGTGATTCCTAGGCCTGTTATGGGGGTAGGGAGGAAAGAGGGAGGGGGGGATCAGAAGACTGTTCTACTCTGTGATTGAACAGAGGGAAGATACCTCCTCATCCCCCCCTTGCAGAGGGGGCTCCGTTTTTGTATGAATCGTATTTTTGGACTATACATCATTGATGGCCCATAACCCACAAGATGTCAAGGTCTTCATCAAAAATCGATGGACGAACCACATTTTTTGTACAAGCAGATTAAGTTCCCCATCTGAGTCAAGCCCGAGACGGACCAATTAATCCATTTGTTAGTTAGTGCTTAATTAATTGGAGGACCATTAATCAGTGGAACAACTTGTCTTGTGGGTGCTCCGACACTAGAGATTTTTAAGAAGCTAATTGGACAGCCACGTGTCTGAAATGATATAGGATCTCCTGCTTGAGCAGGGGGCTGGACTAGAAGACCTCCAAGGTCCCTTCCAACTCTGCTATTGTGTCCTGTATTCGATTTCACATTGTAGAAGAGAAGAACCAATTAAACAGGCTTACCAATCTTCAGGATCGCAATCCCGGAATCCTTTTGCAAATGGGTTGCTGGCAATCTTAAGCTGGGTGATCTGAAGGAGAGAATTAGGGAAGTGGTTTTAGAGTCATCTCACGATTTCCTTGTTCTTAAGCGAATCTCTGCGGTTGTGAAGTTAGTCACACGGCTGTTAAGTGAATCCAGCTTCCCCCACTGACTCTGCTTTTCAGAAGATCGCAAAAGGGGATCGCGTCATACACACACACACACACACACACACACATACACAGACGGGACACAGTGACCGTCATAAATATGAGTTGGTTGCCAAGCGTCTGAATGGGACTGACTGCAACGGTTGTTAGGTCTGGGAAATGATCCTAAGTCACTTTTGTCAGTGAAGTTGTAACTGTGAACGGTCACTAAACAAATCACTGTAAGGTGGGAACTGCCCGTATTTGCATGCCGCTCTTTTGAAAACGGCTGCGGTCAACGTTGCTGGTTTTGAATAGCCGCCACATGGATTATCACCTCAGGTTTCTCAACTATAAATTGTGTTGCTTGTAAAGCTGTAAAGTCTGCAAACCGCTTAGAGAGGGCTGTAAAGCTCTAGGAAATGGCATATAAGTCTAAGTGCTATTGCTGTTCAGTTCTGTTCTATCCTGTAATTCTGTTCTTTTCTATCCTGTAATTCTATTCTATTCAATCCTGTAATTCTATTCTATTCTATATTTCTATTCTATTCTATTCTATTCTATTCTATTCTATTCTATTCTATTCTATTCTATTCCTATTTTAATTCTATTCTATTCCTATTTTAATTCTGTTCTATTCTCTGTTCTCTATTCTCTCTATTCTCTCTTCCCTCTTATCTCTTCTCTATTCTATTCTATTCTATTCTATTCTATTCTATTTCATTCCTATGGTGGCGCAGTGGTTAGAATGCAGCATTGCAGGCTAACTCTGCCCACAACCAGGAGTTCGATCCTGACCGGCTCAAGGTTGACTCAGCCTTCCATCCTTCTGAGGTCGGTAAAATGAGGACCCCGATTGTTGTGGGCCACAGGCTGACTCTGTAAACCGCTTAGAGAGGGCCGTAAAGCACTGTGAAGCGGTATATAAGTCTAAGCACTATTGCTCTTGCTCATTTAAGTCTTATTCTTGGCTCTAGGACAGAGGCATCTTTTACGTTTCAGACCCATTTTGAAAAGCACGTATTACCTGCAAAATATCCAGACTACAGAGTATTTATTTCATTCACTGGGGGGTTGGGGTTGGGAGAAGAATGAAGGGGGGAAGGACATTCGCCCCCTCCCCTCTCCTTTATAACCCCTTTATATTTAAACAAATCCAGGGACAATGTATAATGATTGTGAGTTTCCGGAATGGGTTGAAAAACAAACTTTAAGCCCCTCGGTGACAGTTCAGCCCTTGGAGGTCAAAGTGATAGAAAGCAGAAGAGAAAATAAGCAGCTGTTCTAAGCGATCAGAGAGATGCCAGTCTGGAAATCGCTTCTTAAAGGCACAGCCTCCCTCACGCTTTGCTTCCATTGTTCCCCTAATTTTTTGGGGCTCCATCGCTGCTCCTTCTTTCCTCCTCCTCCTCCTCCTCTCCTCCTCCTCTTCCTCCTCCTCCTCCTCCTCTTTTGAAAAAAAATTCTTCTCTTCCATCTCCTCCTTCTTCACTATTGTAATACTATTTCCATTATGAAAGGAAATAGCCTTCCCGTCTCTTTCTCCATTATTCTGGAAACATCTTCTCCTCCTCTTCCTCCTCCTCCTGCACCTCCCCCCCTTCTCTCTCTCTCTTCCTGCTCCTTCTCCTCCTCCTCCTCCTCCTCTTCTTTCTCCGTTATTATGAAAACATCTCTTCTTCTTCCTCACCCTCTCCTTTTCCCCCTCCTCGAACACGATTACCATTTTCTTATATTTAGCAGGAAATGGCACATGTAGGCAAACAAGCACTTCTGCAGATCAGTTCAAGCGGAATTGTGATCCCAGCAAAGCAAGAGCATCGTAAGTCCATCAGGAGGAAGCATAAGATTCAAATCAAGCACAAACACACACACCCCCCGGGTTTCTTTTCTATTTCTTCTGTGCAACGTTCTTGGTGGATTTTTCCATTTCCTAATCGACAGCCTCTGGGTTTTTCTGGTGGTCTCCCATCCTAGTTCAACCTTGCTTTTGAAAAACTCACTGAAAGTCAGGTCAGCGCCGCCCCCTTCTGGGAGGATTTTTACATGCAGGACTATTTTGGGGGGCATAGTGCTTGTGCAAATTGAATTGCACGCACACGCGCATGCATTCTGGCCAGCCACTTGCACGGCCCACTTGCAAATAGGGGACTCCTGGTCTTTTGGTTAAAGCACCAGGCTAGGAGATGGCGAGTTCTAGTCCCACCTTAGGCATAAAAGCCAGCTGGGTGACTTTGGACCAATCACCAGGAGATGGTGAGTTCTAGTTCTGCCTTAGGTGTCAAAGCCAGCTGGGTGACTTTGGGTCAATCCAAGAGACTGGGAATTCGAGTCCTGTCTTAAATATGAAAAACTGGCGGGGTGACTTTGGGCCAGTCCCTCTCTCTCAGCCCAACCCACCTCACAAGGTTGTTGTGGGGAAAATAGGAGGAGGAAGGTGTGTTGGATATGTTCACCACCTTGGGTTATTTGTAAAACTAATAAAGGCAGGATACAAATAAAATAATAAAATAAAATAAAATAATAAAATAAAATATAAAATAAAATAAAATATAAAATAAAATAAAAAAATACAAAATAAAATATAAAATAAAACAATAAAATAAAATAAAATATAAAGAAATAAAATAGAATATAAAATAAAATAATAAAATAAAATATAAAGTAAAATAAAGTAAAATAAAATAATAAAATACAAAATAAAATATAAAATAATAAAATATAAAGTAAAATAAAATAAAATATAAAGTAAAATAAAGTAAAATAAAATATAAAGTAAAATAAAGTAAAATAGTAAAATAAATTAATAAAATAAAATAATAAAGTAAAATAAAGTAAAATAAAATAAAAATATAAAATTAATAAAGTAAAATAAAATAAAAAATAAATAACAAAACAAATTAAAAAATAAATAAAATACACTTCTCTATTCCGTGCATGCACCACCAAAGCAAAATATACTGGTGCATAATTCAGAAATGTAGAGGACTTCTCGGTATTATTCTAACACAGCCAGCTCACAGAAGCTGATCCAAGCAAATGCAAAAATATGGGGGCCCAACATTATCCAACGCTAACGAAGAGCAGGGAGGGGCTCCCTTTGGGGTGTGTGAATTGCACTGGTGGGGGAGGAGAAGGGATGGGAGCTGCCTATGGTTCCACCGATAATACGGGGAGATCAGTTGAACCCGAATCGTGCTGTTTTGCCAATTTTGAGGGGGGGGGGGCAGGGAAAGCAGAGATCTCTGCTTCTCCAGAATCAGGCCTCCCAGGGTGATCGAATTCCTTCAGAAAGCCATCAACGGATTTAGCAGATGAAATGCTTAAGGAAAAACAGAAGAGGCCGAAAGCTCTTCAGACAGTCTGCAGAACTTGGTGGAGATGCAAAATGTACATTATCTGGCTGGAGAAGCTGCTGGGCACGAAAGAGCGAGTCTCCTTGATAAGCCTCCCAGAAGGAACTTTCGGAGTTTTGAACATAAGATGTAAAGATGTGTGGATTTCAACTCTCAGAATTCCTCAGATGGGTGGACTTCAACTCCCAGGGTTCCCCGGAATAGAATAGAATAGAATAGAATAGAATAGAATAGAATAGAATAGAATAGAATAGAATAGAATAGAATAGAATAGAATAGAATAGAATAATAAAATACAGAATAGAACAGAACAGAACAGAACAGAATAGAATAGAATAGAATAGAATAGAATAGAATAGAATAGAATAGAATAGAATAGAATAAGCAATAGAATTATAAGGAACAAAACAGAACAGAATAAAACAGAACAGAATAGAATAAGGAATAGAATAGAATGGAATGAAACTGAATAGAACAGAACAGAATAGAACGGAATAAGGAATAGAACATTATAAGGAATAGAACAGAATAGAATGGAATGGAATAACAGAGTTGGAAGAGACCTTGGAGGTCATCTAGACCAACCCCCTGCTTAGGTAGCAAACTCTATACCATTTCAGACAAATGGCTGTCCAGTCCCTTCTTAAAAACTGATGTGTTACCCTTTGATGGAAGCAAACCATCATCTGCCCTCTAAATCAGGGAGACCCAAGATGGCACATCCATCATTTATTTATTTATTTATTTATGAAACTTATATACCACTTTAAATGCAAGCACTCTCTAAGCGGTGTACATCAATGAGAAAGAGAAGAATTCGCTTTTCCAAAGCAGGGGAGTTTTGCTTTCCTATAAACCCCTAATATGAGTTAAATCCCAGCGATGTTAACCAACTCGGATCCAGGTAGGACCATCTTTGACTCTAGTTCTTCTTCTAAAGTACAGGTAGTCCTCCACTTAACGACCACAATTTCTGTCGTTAAGCAAGACACTTGTTAAAGTGTTCATTGCTGCAATTGTTAAGTTAGCCACACAGTCGTTAAGTCAATCTGGCTTCCGCATTGACTTTGCTGGTCGGAAGATCTCAAAAGATGATCACGTGATCCCGGGGACACTGCAACCATCCTAAGTACATGCCAGTTGCCGAGCCTTTGGATTTTGATCACGTGACCGTGGAGCTGTCTCAACTGTCGTTAAATAGGCAAAACGGTCGTAAGTCCTTTTTTTTCACTGCCGTTTACGACTTTGAACGGTCGCTAAGCCGACTGTTGTAAGTCGAGGACAATCCGTGCCCTACGTGGCTTCGACTCTGGGTTGAAGAGAAGGCTGCAAAGTCTCCAAGGAGTTTTTTTTAACACAAAAAACACAAGTTTTTTTTCTACTTCTGATTGAACCGCCCGGCGATTCGAAGCATTTAAAAGTTCCTTTGGAATTTGGGCTTTGCTGATTTCATGGTTTTCTTCTCTGTAGATGCATCTTTGCCATCTGGGCTTTGCGAAAGACAAAAAAAAAAATCTTCCGGCGTTGATAATATGCCGGCCACATTAGACACAAGCCATCCATAATCTTTGGAGTCTGGCGATGAAAGGACTTTTTGGCTACATGGGCACATTCTGGGCACGAAGATCTCCCAGATGTATAAACAGATGCAGGGACATGGTGTTTTTATCCCCAGCTGCAAATTCACACAACGTTGCTTCGTTGGGGCATAGTAATTGCGTGCATGGGAAGCTGGTAAGTACAACTGAAGACAATGCTCCGTGCAAATATCTGGTTTCTGGGTTGCCAGTTGGCTAACGATCCCATATCATGGTTAGGAGGAACCTCTTAACGTTCCAGATGTTACCAAATTGAAACTTCTGGAATATGTCACGATCAACGCCCAGCGTCTGAGTTTTATGTGTTATGTGGAGGACTTACAGCTGGCTACCCCAGCAGTGCACCCATTTAATGGATTAAGGCAGGGATCCCCAACCCTCAGTCTGTGGACCGGTAGAGGGCCGCGGCATGCCAGCAACCGTTCCACACAAACAAACAAAGCCCCATCCGCGGGATGCAGGCAGCACACAAAACCACAACTTGTTTAGTCCAAAGAGCCCAGATGATGGATTTAAGACAATGGAGGATATTCCATTAGCAAGTAGTGATGTACTAGGATGAGAAATAGAAAACGTTTATGAAATAAAATAAGAATATATTCAAGTAAGTAATAGGTATACTTTGGATATTGTAATTTTTATAGAGTGAAATAAAGGAAATTTGGGTTATCCGGAATGTAAATATATGGATATTAAAGGTTAAATGGGAATATTCTAATTAAAAATTAGCTAAAATTCAGATACAGGATATGAATATGTATAAGCAAAAATATAAGGATAAATGTTTTAACTGAGCTTGTTACAACTAGAAACCTATTAGCTTAAATATGATACAGTAAATGTTAAGGGAAATAGAGAAGGGATTTTTTGATGATGTAACCTGAGATATGTACTAAAGATTTTGTTATGGTACCATAACACCATGCTGCTTTCCAAATACTTAAATGTAAAACTGGAAAATCAATAAATACATGTTATAAAAAAAACACCACACACTCTCCACTCCGTGGAAAAACCTCTCTCCACGGAACCGGTCCCTGGTGTCCAAAAATGTTGGGGACCTCTGGATTAAGGGGTGGGGGGTGCAAAATTAATCAGCTTTTTCCAGAGTCTGCTTTGATGTTTTCCCATCAGCTCTGCTGGGGGGGAAGAATTCGTGGGATGTCCTGTTTCCAGAGATGAGGAATCCTTGGTGCTCTCTGGACTATGTTGTTTTCTTGTAGACCTTTCATTACCCAACTACGTAACATCATCAGTAGAAAACCTCACTCATTTCTGTTGCTCTGCGAGACATTGGTCAGGAGAGGTTTGCCCCATTTTACGACCTTAAGCGAATCACTGCAGTTGTTAAGTTAATAACAGGGTTGTTATCTGGCTTCCCCATTGTCAGGTCACGGGACACCACGACTGTCATATATATGAACCAGTTGCCAAGGGTTCAAATTTTGATCACATGACCAAGGAGATGCTGCAACAGTCACCAGTGTGAAAAAACAGGTCATAAAGCACTTTTTTCGGTCTCCTTCTAACTTTGAACCATTGCTAAGGGAACTGTCGTAAGTCAAGGACTATCTGGAAAGAGATTTGATTTGTGAAACAGATCCCAAAATTGTTCTGATTTTCTTCGGTGAGGAGCACATCAAAGCACATCAAAGCACATGAGAAGCAACCTAGAACTAAGGAGAAACTTCCTGACAGTGAGAACAATTAATCAGTGGAACAACCTGCCTCCAGAAGTGGTGAATGCTCCAACACTGGAAGTTTTTAAGAAGAGACTGGACAGCCATTTGTCCGAAATGGTGTAGGGTTTCCTGCCTGGGCAGGGGGTTGGACTAGATGACCTCCAAGGTCCCTTCCAACTTTACTACTATTATTATTACTACTCAACCAAAGAGGTTAGTTACAAATAAATCATTTCTTGTCTTTTTCACCCGACATCTGTTCGGGTTGGCATCCTAAACATTTGTCCTTTCTTTTTCCTGTGGAGATGGGTGAAGGAACCTCATTTAGCAACCCCGCAGAGTTGCTAAAACTAGAGAAGAAAGCCTAATTTTAATTAGCCAGATTCTGATTGCAAGCTGCCTTAATTCTTTCCTCCAGTCCCTCACATCTGAGATGATTTAAACAGGAAGGCGTCGCCTTTAAGAGATTTGCACCAAAAAAAAAAAAAAAAATTCCCACTGAAACAAGCAAAGTTTGGTTGATTGACTGCGCCCAACGAGCTCCTACCTTCTCTTTTCCGGCTCTTCATCCATCATGTCACTAAGATGGAGATGTTCTGGACAGGGGAAGGTGGCTTTTAAGGCAAGGGCAGGCGGGCGTTGATAAATGACTACGTCTCATTAATTAATTCCAGATACTCACCCGATGGTTTTGGTAGGCCGTGACAGCAGTGAATCGGGTCTCCTCAAAGACAAAGGTCTTAAAGTTCTCCTCGGCGTACTTCTCGCTGTCTTTCCGCGGGTCCACGTAGACCACGTGGAAACGGGGCTGGTATCTGTGCATGGAGTTCAAAATGATCTGAATAACAAAAACGAGCGAGGGAAATCGTATAACTGGTCCGTTCGGCCACATCGAGGCGGTAGCGGAGAAGAGAAAGAGGAGGAGACCTCACAAAATGGCCACTTCAAAGGCAGCTTGCTCAACTCGGCTGGGCAAGAAGGATGGGGGAGTTGTCCACCATGTTGGCTGGGGAAAAAAATAGCTCATTGTTTTAAGCCTTGGGGATCATCTCCCCCCCCCAAAAAAAGATAACTCTTCACATCCTTCTTCTACAACAGAAGAAGTTGATGGGGGAGGTGTTCCCACATGTTGGCTGGGAATGATGGAGCTGGTGGTGTCACGCAGCTGCAAAGTTGTGGAGTAGGGATTTCTCAACCCTTTAACAGGTGTGGACTTCGACTTGCAGAATTCTGGAAGTAGACCTCCACGCATCTTAAAAGTTACCAAAGTTGAAAAACCCTACTCTACAACTTTGCAGCTGCACGACACAGCAAGCCCCATCCTTCCCAGCCAATGTGGTGGACACCTCACCCATCATCTTCTTCTGTTGTAGAGGAAAGATCTGAAGAGTATCTTTTTGGGGGAAGGTGATCCCCAAAGCTTAAAACAATGAGTTATTTTTTCATTGGGAAAGCTATGGTTTGAGTTTTAAAAGGCAAAGGACAGGGGTCTTCAAACTTGGCCCTTTTATGACTTGTGGACTTCAACTCCCAAAATTCCTCAGCCAGGCATGCTGACTGAGGAATTCTGGGAGTTGAAGTCCACAAGTCATAAAAGGGCCAAGTTTGAAGACCCCTGATGTAGTAGATGCTTTAAGTCAGAAATGTTTTTTCATCTTCCCAGTTTGACCCACAATCTTGAGGTTCCCAACCAAAGTCTTAATCCTGCTGAATTTTCAAGGCCAGTTAAGGCCAATAAGATGCATACACATGGTTGTAACCCAATAGATTTCTATAGATCTATGGTAGCCCAATAGATCTGGTCAATAGTTTCTTGATCAATTTGGGAAGAATTTGACAGGACAACCTGCTCATTCTATCCTTCAATTATTCAGTTTTCCAACCATTTAAGCTTTTTAGTTTAGCCCACAATTTTGAGTCTTCCAAACAAGTCTTAATCCTGCTGAATTTTCAAGGCCAGTTCAGGCTGATAAGGTATAGACACATTGTCATAACCCAACAGATCTGTTGTAGCCCAGTAGATCTGGTCAACAGTTTCTTGATTGATTCGGGAAGAATTTAAATGGACTATCTGATCATTCATTCAATCATTTGAACGTCACCTGACTCTTAACAGTCACAGGAAAACTGATTCTCCCTTTCCCAGCCACCACTTACATGCCCATTGTCATCCAGTAAATTGTTGGTCAGCTTCAATTTGTCAAAGGACACAATTTGCTTCATCCACTGAGCGCCCCTCGCTGGGGAATCTGGGTGATAGTGCACCCTCCCAGGCGTGGCAGGATCAGCTTTGCCAGCCACCAGCCAGGAAGAACTGTGAAATGCATACCTGTGGGGAGCAGAAAAGCCAGGAATTGATTTGACTCACAGCGCTTGGAAAAGAGACCACCAGGAAATCACAGAGGTGTAAATTAGATGTAAAAAAAAATGACAGAACAATTAATCGGTGGAACAACTTGCCTCCAACACTGGAAGTTTTTAAGAAGAGACTGGACAGCCATTTGTCTGAAATGGTATAGGGTTTCCTGCCTGAGCAGGGGGTTGGACTAGATGGCCTCCAAGGTCCCTTCCAACTCTGTTATTCTATTCCATTCCATTCCATATTTTCTATTCTATTCTATTCCATATTTTCTATTTATTCTATTCCATTCCATTCCATTCTATTCTACATTCTCTATTCCATTCCATATTCTATTCTATTCTATTCTGTTCTGTTCTGTTCTGTTCTGTTCTGTTCTGTTCTGTTCTGTTCTACATTCTCTATTCTATTCTATTCTCCATCCCTATCCTATCCTATCCTATCCTATCCTATCCTATCCTATCCTATCCTATTGTGGTTGCACAAAGAAGCAACTGCAGGATGGCTGCCTTGACATCTGAGTGCTGCTTGTTCTCTTCTATCCAACCCCATTGCCCGCATCGGACCCCCAAGGAAATTCTAGACTTCCCAGCCACGGGTCTCTTTAAAAAATCAGGTTTCGGTGAAGGGTGGAGGCTCCCAATGAAGGCTGAACAGAAACAAATGAGGAATCGAGTAAGAAGGAAGGTGGGGCGCCTCAGGCAAAATCCTCTTTCTTGCCTGCAATAGATCCCGTTTCCTTTGACAAGCAAACATTTTTGAAGCCCTGCAGGAAGCTGGGAAGCCGTTGAGATATTTACCTCCTTATCAAGCAAGGAGCTTGAAGGGGTTTGCAAAGGAAAAGGGGCATAGGAAGGGGAGAGTAACACCATGCGCAATCCCATAACTCACAATCCCACAACTCTGGTCCATGAGGTCATCACGGAACACAAGAGGTCAACATGGCTTCCCTTTTGACACCCCCCCCCCCAGAATGTTGGGTGGTCAACGGGTGGTGGTGGAAAACAGACAGCAATTAACCTTTGGGCTCTTGGTTTTTTTTTTCATTCATTCAAGTTCACTTTAGTTTTAATCATGCTTTCCGTGCTTTTATATTTAGGCTTTTAATTTAAGCTGCTCGGAGTCGCTTTGGAGAGGGAGACAGAAGACATACACTTGTAATCAATAAACAAACTAGCAAACAAATGCTAGCATTGTTCCCGAGAGACACGTGTGTGTGTGTGTGTGTGTGGGTGGGTGGGTGGGTGGGTGTACACACATGTGCTTGTGTGTTTGAACAAGGGAGGTAGGAGATGGAACTATGCTCGTGCAAGAAACGATATGGACAGTTTTCCCCAAAAAACTGGGGGGGGGGATTACCAGCCACACAAAATTCTCTCTTCTTACACCGAGGGCACTCAATTTTGCCAGAAGTTATCAGTCGCCGTCAAGCAGGTCAGTGGAACGGGTGGTGGATGTGTTCACAAGAGGCATGAAACTCCAATGATATTCGACCACCTGAGGGGTCATGTGAAGCTTAAGGAATCAGGCACGCTCCCGGAAAAGTAGGTGAAGTTCATAGCTAGCTCAAGGATGAAGTATGAACGTGAATAGGAATGAACTTTCCCTAACTGAATACCCCCATGTAGTGCTGGGAAGTATGGGAACTGGAGTCCAGCACATGTGGGGAGTGCACAGTTGGTAGGTAAAGTGGGAGGGAAGGAGGCAGCAGGAAGGAGAGAGAGAGAGAGAGAAGGAAAGAAAGAAAGAAAGAAAGAAAGAAAGAAAGAAAGAAAGAAAGAAAGAAAGAAAAACACATGCACAGGGGGAAACAGAAAGAGAAAGAGAGAAGGAAAGAAGGAAGAAAAAAGAAAGAATAAAAGGAAGGAAGGAAGGGAAAGAAAGAAAGAAAGAAAGAAAGAAAGAAAGAAAGAAAGAAAGAAGAAAGAAGGAAAGAAAGACATGCACAGAGGGAAACAGAAAGAGAAAGAGAGAAGGAAAGAAGGAAGGAAAAAAGAAAGAATGAAAGGAAGGAAGGGAGAAAGAAAGAAAGAAAAAGAAAGAAACACATGCATAGAGGGAAACAGAAAGAGAAAGAGAGAAGGAAAGAAGGAAGGAAAAAAAGAAAGAATGGAAGGAAGGGGAAGAGAAAGAAAGAAAAAGAAAGAAACACATGCACAGAGGGAAACAGAAAGAGAAGGAAAGAAATAAGAAAAAGAGAGAGAAAGAAACAGAAAAGAGAAAGAGAAACAAAGAGAAAGAGAGAAAGAAAAGATTTCTACTAAACCTGCTTAAAAAATGGCTCAGAGGCATTCTTGCTTTTAAACTGAGAACAAAATTGGAGATAATCACTGACAAATGACTGAAGCCTCAAAGCATAATAATGATTTAAAAAAAAAAAGTAACAAATTTGAGATTTAGCTCCTTGCTCGTAAATTGCCGCTTCTTGGCAAGAAGCAGAGGGCAAGCAAGACAGTTCGAGCTTTGGAGAGAGAAAGAAATGTGTGGAAGGAGCCAAGCGTGGAAGAACAAATTAGGGGGAGGGAGAGGGGAAGGGAAGGGAGGGAAGGAGGGCCACTGGGGGAGGAATATACCACTCAGTGAAGCCCCCCCATCCACTGAAAGGCATAGGATTAATCGACCCTTCCCATGACTGTATGCTGGAAATGAACCTTCCTCGTTTCCAAAAAGTTGATTTTTGCTCCTCTCCCTGGTTAATAGAATAGATTAAGACAAATGGGCTGGGGTAAGGACAATATTTTATTGTTTGTAGCCTGCCTTTATTATTTTTGCAAATACATCAAGGCGGCAAACATATCCAATACACCTCCCTGCTGCTATTTTCCCCAGAACAACAGCCTTGTGAGGTGGGTTTTGCTGAGAGAGAGGGACTGGCCCCAAGTCACCCAGGTGGCTTTCATGCCTGAGGCGGGACTAGAACTCACCATCGCCTGGTGATTGGCCCAAAGTCACCCAGGTGGCTTTCATGCCTAAGGCGGGACTATAACTCACCGTCGCCTGGTGATTGGCCCAAAGTCACCCAGGTGGCTTTCATGCCTAAGGCGGGACTAGAACTCACCGTCGCCTGGAGATTGGCCCAAGTCACCCAGGTGGCTTTCATGCCTAAGGCGGGACTAGAACTCACAGTCTCCTGGTGATTGGGCCAAGTCACCCAGTTGGCTTTCATGCCTAAGGCGGGAGTAGAACTCCCTGTCTCTTTGAGATTGGCCCACCCAGTTGCCTTTCATGCCTAAGGTGAAACTAGAACTCACAGCCTCCCAGTTTCTAGCCCTGCTGCCTTAACCCCTAGACCAAACCGACCCCCACAATATTGTAAAAACAATACTAAATCCTCCGAGGAATAGTCTGTCTTGAGGAGGAATTTGCAACTCCAGCATCAGCAAAAAGGAGACAGACCACCCAGCCCTGGGATCTACTTGCAGCTTGTGATCATCATCCTCCCTCCGTCCCTTGCAAGACACTCAGCTGCCTACTCAGAGGTCCTCTCCATTCAAGGCCCATGGCACCCCTTGGAGAGTGCTCCACTCCCCAGAGAAGGCTTCCGATACTTGCCGATAACGTTTGTCATCCACCGGGACAAAGTCCATCAGGAGCATGTAGTCTGCCATGGGATCCATCCCAAAGATTTTCACCTGGAAGGTGGGGAACATCCTCCTGCAGAAGGAAGGGGAGAAAGCTGAGAAGGAGGGATGAGCATCTGGCAAAGGCCCACCCTGATCTCTGCTTGAAGGAAGACTTTCCAAAGAAAGGGAAACTGAGGTGGCATTGAGCAACGAGGAAATCAAAACCCTGTAGGAAGGGGGTTAGATCGTGACAGAGGACCTTGGGGTGGACATGGCCATCTCTTGATTCTGCCCACCACGAGTCCCTTGTTCCTGTTTTGAAGGCCATTTCTAACATCACCCAGCCAATGGTGGTGACCCAACACTTAGGGTGTCACCATAGCCGTGTTTTTGATGACATTGAAAAACTAAACCAATTTAGTTCCCATTAGGAATTGACTGTAAATTGGCCATCTTCAGTGTGTCACAAGACTCTTCTTCGTTATTTGTTCTGTTGCCCTACTGGCTACAGATTGGCCTCTTTGGCCTCTTGATCTAAAAAAAACCTAACTTAGAGATGGAGACCATATGCTGTCGGATTTCAGATTTCACGCTGTAAATCTCAATTCTCTAACTACCAGTTAGGATATTTGTAGCTCAGGGTTGAAAACTGTGGGGTCTTTGGTGCTTTCTGAGCGTGGTGGTTTTCTTGCAGACGAACAGAGAGGTAGCCCCAGTCTGTTCTAGCACTGATGATGTTACCTAGTTGGGTAATGAAATGTCTTCAAGAAAACAACCAAGTTCAGAGGACACCAAAGACCCCATAGTCCTTCTCCTCCTCCTCCTCCTCTTCCTCCTTCTCCTTCTCCTTCTCTTCCTCCTCCTCCCTTCTAGCACTGATGATGTTACCTCGTTGGGTAATGAAACGTTTGCAAGAAAACCACCATGTTCAGAGAGCACCAATTCTCTAACTGCTTAATTCTGCACTTAGCATATCCAGGGGAAGAATTCTATGAATCTGTATTTCTGACCAGAATAAAACTGGCAGTCAAAGACTGGGTTGCCCGTCACAGATAAAGAAGCAACTTTTTTTTTTTAATTTAAGCTCCCAAGTTTAAATTCTTGGCTTCATCTTCCTGGCCTTCTGAGTTAGTGGATCTTTTTTTTGACATCCTTGGAAGGAGCTAAAATAAACCCATCAAGGTATTCTCGCTAGCATGGCAATCCCTGGCGCCCATCCCCGACCCCTGACAAAGAGGGAAATTAGCACCAGTGAAAAATCCGCACAATTGTATTAGTAAAGCTTCTAGTTCTCACCAGAACTCAAGGCCAAACTCCGTCTGATCTGCTTTTTGCCTTTCTTTGGTGAATCTCAAGGTTGCAAGTTCTAGAATTATTATTATTATTTTTTTTAAAAGGCAGTTTGAGCTTTACAAACCCAGAGCAGCTAACCGGGATAGCGTGTATGTCCAGGAATGAATAAATTCCATCATTAAACTCACTGGAATCCCTCCACAGAAACTCCCCCGCCCCTCTTAATTTACAGATGCCTCCAACACTTTCCTTGCTCCGGGCTTGCATTAAAGGTCGACACACGCCCTACAAAAATTTCCTTCCAAACACAAGATGCATTGCCATATTCCGGATCTCCTGGCAAGCCAATATCAAAAGCTCAATAGCAAGGAGGCTGGTTGTTAAAAGAATCTGCCTGTTCAAATTAAATGTGACAATTTGTGGGCAAGATTCCATCCAGTTAGGAAATATTTTTCCTGAAACTCAGCTGAAGGAGAAGTGAAAGCACTTCGAACAACTGGGTGCATGGGACTTTAGAGCTGGTTCCAAAGAGTGACGAAGTTGTCTTGCGCTCACGCTGGTGTGACCAGGAACAGAAAAACCAGGATCATTTGAGGTCGCTTGAATGGACACCTAGAGAGGTTCCTCACCATTGCCCAGACTTCAACCCTCAGCCTCCCCAGCCAGGTGGAGAGGATGGGTGTTGTAGTCCAAGCGGTGCGCAGATCACCAGCTTTCCCTCCCTGTTGCTCTTCTCCTTGGTCCGAATCCGAGAGAGGAAAGGTGGATGAGAGGGAGGCTTTGCAAGGAACAAAAGTGGGGAATTTTACTACCCTGGCTGGGGTCTAGAAACTGATCTTTGGCTGATCTCCTTTCTGAGCATGTGGCCTCCCCCTAGCCGTTTGTCAGGATTTAATTATAATGATGTGGGTGGCTACTCCAAATTTATAGCAAAGGAAGGGGAGAGGAGGAGGAGAAAGAAAAAATGGAGAAGAAGGAGAGAAAAGAGGAGAGGAAGAGGAGGAAGAGGAGAAAGAGAAAATGGAGAAGGAGAAGGAGAGAAAGGAGGAGGAGGAGAGGAAGGAGAAGGAAAAAGAGAAAATGGAGGAGAGGAAGAGGAGAAAGAGAAAATGGAGAAGGAGAAGAAGAGAAAGGAGGAGGAGAGGGAGAGGAAGAAGAGAAAGAGAAAATGGAGAAGGAGAAGGAGAGAAAGGAGGAGGAGGAAGGAGGAGAAGATGGAAGGAGAAGAAGAAAGAGAAAATGAAGGAGGAGGAGAGGAAGAGGAGAAAGAGGAGGAAGAGAAAATGGAGAAGGAGAGAAAGGAGAAGAGGAAGGAGGAGAAGAGGAAGGAGAAGGAGAAAGAGAAAATGGAGAAGGAGGAGGAGAGGAAGAGGAGAAAGAGGAGGAAGAGAAAATGGAGAGGGAGAGGAAGGAGGAGAGGAAGAGGAAGGAGAAGAGGAAGGAGAAAGAGAAAATGGAGGAGAAAAGAGAAAGAAGGAGGAGGAGGAGGTTTTAAACTCTCACAATCCACCTTATACTTATTTTCTACATTTTGCCCTTCAATTTTACCCCCAGGGGGAGAGAGAGAGAGAGAGGGAGAGAGAGAGAGAGAGAGAGAGAGAGAGAGAGGGAGGGAGGGAGGGAGGGAGGGAGGGGAGAGAGAGAGAGAGAGAGAGAGAGCGAGAGAGAGAGAGAGAGAGAGAGGAGCAAAGTCCCCAGATCCACCAGACGGGGCTTTATTGACAAAGGAATCGGAGAAGAGGCCGCCGTTTAAAAACGCATCGCGCGTCCCTCCTTCCTTCCTTCCTTCCTTCCTTCCTTCCTTCCTTCCTTCCTTCCTTCCTTCCTTCCTTCCTTCCTTCTTCCTTTCGGCCGGAGCGAAAACGATCCGGACTTGTTTCCATTCCTTCGCTCCCCTTGGCGCAACTTTCTGAGCCCCGGTCTGGATGCGGAGGGTGGATCTGGGTTTGTTCCGTTTCTTTTTTTCCCCCTTAGGCCCTCCTCGCTCCGCCCGAGGGAAACCAAGGTTTATCAACCCCAAACGTTTCCGTTCGTCCTGACCCCCTTCGGGACGATTCAGGTTGCTCCATCCGACCCGCAAACATTGGCGCTACCAGAATAATTTGATAAATACGACTTGAACAAACAAGGCGGAGAAGAATAAGGGAAAGAGGAGGAGGAGGAGGAAGGGGAGGAGGAAGGCGAATTAGCCTGGAGTGACTTATAAAACGAATGCGGGCGGGATATGAACGAATAAAATAAAGAAGCATCATTTAAACATCTGGCTTGATGTACGGTTAGCCCATACACGAAGAAGCCAAGTCCTTGGCCCTGAATTAGTTTACTTTTAAAATGTTTATTTTTTCAAGTCAATATTTATTTCTTTATTTTTTTAAAAAAAGAGTTTTCTCCAGCTTTCGTCTGTGAGGCTAATCGTCCGTAGTAATAATAAATAAGGTAGCCTAATAATACAACGCGATAATAATAAGGTAATAATAATTACCTTATTATTATTATCGTAATAATAAATAAGGTAGCCTGATAATACAACGCGACGCGACCCAAAATATAATAGGGTAATATAATATTTGATAACGATGATAACATCTGATCGTGTCGTATTTGATCGTGAAAGATCTAGCAAAAGGGATCTTTTTTTGGAACAGCTGACTTTTTTACACCCTCCAAGGACCACATCTGCCTATCCCAAAGTCCTGGGGTAGGATTCGATAGGTGGTGGTGGGGGGAAATGCGAAACATCTGGCCATCTGAACATCTGGCCGACTGTGCGAAGACCCACAATAATACCTAACCTCTTAGTCCAATTGAACCTCCGATTGTCCATTTGGAAGAATTCTTTTGCCCGTGTGTATGTGTGTGTGCGATTGTGTAAGTGTGATTGTGTGGTTGTGTAAAACCGTGCAATCCCGTTGAAATCAACCCTACCAACCGCGGGGAGAGGGTGTCTTGGAAAACTTCCCTCCCCCACTCGAAACAGCAAAAGGGCGCCGGCGGAATTATTTTTTATTTTATTTTAGTTTAGTTTAGTTTTTCTTTTTTGCACGTTTTGCAAAGCCGGGAACTCTCCGAGGGAGTCGGAGGCTTAAGAAACTATGAAATATATATACACAGAATAAATAAACTGGGCGGCACTTCGGCGAGAAAATGACTTTTTTTTTTCGACTGGATTTTTTTTTTATATAATTTTTTACCCTTTGGGGAGGCGGGGGGGGTCGACTTTGAAAGCGCTTTTCGAGACAGGCGGTTATACAGATCACATAAATCGACAGAAATAGGTAAAAAAAAAAAAAGTGCCATCCGCGACATATTTTTTTTTTGCCGGGCGTGGGGCTACAAGACCCCCCCCAAGACATTTTTTTTGCTCAGAAAAAGGGGTGCACGGCCAAAACGACGGAAGGTAACTTCAGTGGAGTTTAGATTGTTATTGTTTTAATTTAAATCATGACCCTGCGCTTCGTGATCATTTCCTGATCCTGCGGTATTGATAACAGGATTGATAACAAATCGGTAACGGTTTAGGATTTGCACCCGTGACCCAACCGCTTCTTGTTCTTTTGCGAAAAAGAGGCATTCCCCCCCTCCTTTTATGCATACAGAAAATTTTAGGGCATAATCTGAGCCTCCTTCCTGAGCTGGGGGGGGCGGGGTGGGGAAGAAAGGGTCCCTTATTTCCCCTTTAGCTTTGAAAATCTCCAAAGACGGAATTCTGTGGAAGAGCGTTAAACTTATTCAGTGGATTTAGGAGACGAGACAGAAAGAAAAAAAAAATCTATCAAGGAAAATGATTTATTTGGCGCTGGTGGATCAGGCCCATTGGTGTTCCTTCTAACCGTCTCTCTCTCTCTCTCTCTCTCTCTCTCTCTCTCTCTGGGATAACCCAGCCTAGAAAAGATGGGGGGGGGCAGGAGATGGGAAAAAGGCTCCCAACTCTTAAAAAAGTTCTCAGCAACTGTTCTCCAGCTTACTGTGGCCTCTAAAACCGAAATAAAATGGAGCAGCTGCCCTATTTATAAAATGATTATTATTATTAAACAACTTTATATAACTCCCAACTTACTCATAGGTGATGCCAGGCTGATTCATAGAAAATTCACATAAACACTGTCTCTCCGTCTCTGTCTCAATACTTCTTTCTCTCTCTCTCTCTCTCTCTCTCTCTCTCTCTCTCTCTCTCTCTCTCTCTCTCTCTCTCTCTCTCTCTCTCTCTCTCTCTCTCTCTCTCTCTCTGTCTCTTACAGAGACACACAGAAACGTTTCGTCTCTCACCAATACATTTGTGGGATTGCACATTACAAACTGCAGGATTCCAATTTCGGGTACTGGAATTTATGGAATTTATAGTCACGCTTTATGGAGAGAGTGCAGGTTGGAAGAAAGTGGGACGGGGGGGGGGTGGGGTGGAATTGTACAAAGCCAGGGTTACCTTTAACTATGGTCTCTTCACTAAGCTGAGTTGGCTAGTATTTTCCAGCCAGCAAATAATAATAATAAAAAAAATGTATTGCTACCGCATCTTGGCTGCAAAAATCGGAGCGTCCTCTAGAGGGCAGCAGGATGGAGCCAGTGGGCCCAGTCTGTGTTGCCCTCTAGGGATGATCCGTGGAATTGCTAGAGTCGGAAATGGGGAAATTACAACTCTGAGAGGACGGGGGGAGGAGGCTGTGGCTTTGTGTGTTGGGTAACCCAAATCTCCATTGTTGGTAAACCGTGGTTTATGCCCGGGCACAACTCTCCAATGCAATTCTGATTTATTCCAGAAAACATATTTTAGGACACCTTAAATCCAAGCAACACACCAAGGGAGGCTTACTTTTAGGGATTGTGTAAAGAAGAGTGCTGAAACTACCCTTTTTAAAAAAAAATCCTAGGAAGCAAAAATATAGAATTTATCTGCACAGCATCTGTTGGCCTATGAAGTAAAATATAACCCGATTCCAAAATATGTGGAAGCCCCCCCTGCTTTGCGGCTCCCTTTAGTTGTAGATCCAGGCGGTTAAATCAGTTAAAAAGCTATACCTAGAAACGCTGATGTGGGAAGAAGTTAAGGTCCACGAAAACATTTAATTTTCCGTTCATTTTTTATCCAAGACCAACGAATAAAAAAAGAGCCAGGGCGCGCCTGGATTGCATTGCTTCATTTCCAACAACAGAGACGAATCCGCGTGCCCACAAACTATTATGCATAAGGGTCGGCCGGATCTCCACTTTAATTCCAGGTTTACATGATTTTTCCCTTAAAATGAAGGGGGAATAAAGGTATATAAACACACAGGAGAAGAGAGGGGGCTGGTGGTGTCTATTTCTGTTTTTTTTTTTCTATTTTTTGATAGCAACGAGAGCAGTTTTGCATTCTACTTAATCCCGTTCGTTTCTTTTTTTCTTTCCTTTTTTTAACCAAATGCGAACAGGCGCTGTCTGAGGACTTTTCTCCATGCCTCCCCAGTTTTAAGACGCCTATAGATCGACTCTCCAAAGAGATTAATTGCAAACTGGTTGCCTTCAATAGGAAAGCCTGCCTAGGTTGCCACTTGCATTTGAGGGCCAGCAATATATATTTCCCCCCTTTTGCCAAAGCCGCGTTCAAAACTGGTTGCCTTCGATAGGAAACCATCCTTAGATTTGCATTTGAGGGCCAGCGATATATTTTCCACCCCCCTTTTTTTTTTTTTAAACCGAAGCTGCGTTTCTCGTTTTTTATAATCCGAAGCTGCTTCTCTCCTAACCGGGAACGTCATTCATCGCGTTGGGTTACTAGCAGAAATTAACGGAGCAAAAACGTTTCAAGGAAAGCATAAACGGAGACCCTACAACACAACCCAAATACCAATAATTTTTGGGGGGGTGGGAGGAAAAGAATTAATAATGTGGGCGTGTATATGTGTACGTGCGCACACAAATTATGCATACACGTGTCCTTTAAAATGTATATACATTTTATATATATGCTTTCATAAACACAGGCACACCCTTTAAAATGTAACACACACACACACACACACACATGAAGATATGTATGCACGCTTTTATACACACACACACACACACAAAGCACGCAGGTAAAACACAGGAGCACATACTGTTTTAAATTATGTTCACACACACGCACACACATATATATATAGACACGTACATATATATAGATGCACATGCATGCATATGCGCACACCATGCTTTCATGTTTATAAACACACACATGTGCACGCTTATTTTAAATGTGTATATATGTACACACACACAAGTACACACACACATATAATATAAGTTATACTAAATGCCAGGTTTCAGACACTATTTATTCTACCAATTACATTAAATGCTGGTGGCCATTTTCTTCTAAATCGTTTTTTCTTTCCTGGCCTCAGCAGCGACCATTCCTAACTACAGTAATATTTTCTCTTGCGGGGGGGGGGGAGGATGTTAATTAATTAAGCAGACGGTCCTAGAGGTGGAGCTGGCTTTGGATCCCCCCCCCTGGATGAGGGTTTGAAGGTTTCAAGGCCAGCGCCATGGTTAAAAGCGTCACACAAATTCCTGTCCGGAAAGGACGCGAAGATTTTTTTTTTGCAGCTCTTGAAAGAGGCAGGAAAATAAATGGTGGGCGAGTCACTGAATGCCTGGCTTGTTGGTTTCTCCCCCGGCGCCCCCCCCCCGCCATGGATTTGATTGTTAATGTTGCCTTCCCCCCCCGCCTTTTTTTTTTTTTTTTTGCTAACTTTTGCTGGGGAGCTTTTGCGCGGCTAAGAATTGGAGCGGCCCAGTCAATTGGGGACAATTCCATTCGGTCAAACTATCTGCGCTCTGGCACTTTCAATGAAGCTCTATCCGAGGAAGGAAGGAAGGAAGGAAGGAAGGAAGGAAGGAAGGAAGGAAGGAAGGAAGGAAGGAAGGAAGGAAGGAAGGAAGGAAGGAAGGAAGGAAAACCGAGTCTAAAATTCTGAGCACCCTTGAACTTCAGAGCGTTCAGACAGCCCTGCTTCCACCCCCTCCCTCACAGAATAAACCACAAACGAAAATGTGCCCTCGTGGGTTTGAAAACACACAGGCCCTACCCCTTTCCCAAGGCCGTTCCTCTAGATATGTCTGAGGCAGCTCCCATCATCCCCAGCCAGAGGGAAGGAGAAGGGTGACACGCATGCACGCATGCACACAAGGAGGCGGGAGGCTGCGGACGAGTTAAGAAGGACTAAAAACAGGTTTTTGAAACCTGAGGTTCCGGAGATCTTTGCCCTACCCTTAATGAACTGATCACTTATCGCCAGGAGCTAATTATTCCTCTTCTGATTACCCACCCCGGCTTGGGTTACGTTTTTCATTTCCTGCAACCTCTGCAGACGCGCTTTCGATCGATCGGGCCAAAACCCAGCCAAGGGTTTGCAGGGGAAGGGGGGAGGTCTAAAAGATGGAGTTTTTTTGCCCCAGCTTGTAACCTACCCTCAGAACCAGGCCGAATTTAAAGGAAACAAAAAGTCAGCTTTAGGAAGAGAAAAGTAGACATAGGCTGAGCCGTTGGGAAACCAACGCCGTTAAAACAGGAGAGGCCTAAGACGGTGGAAAAAGCAAGCGAGGTCGGGCACCGGCTAGCTAGGAATTAACTTTTCAGTCTTCCCTTGCGTTAATAAAATCACAATCTGTGTGTGTGTGTGTGTGTGTGTGTGTGTGTGTGTGTGTGTGTGTGTGTCTACGTGTTTCCAGCCATTCTTCAAATACGACCGGCTGCACTTCGCCCCCCCCCGCGCCGCTTTGTTCGCGCAAAACCCGCGGAGGATTAAACTGTAAGACAAACTCCACCGAGCATTCGGCATCCAAAACGCCTCCCGATCCAAAACAGTTCCCGGCACTTTCCCACAGCAAAGCAACGGCGCCCCTCCCCCCCCAGACTTTTCCGCCTTCCCCTGCCGCCCCCAATCCCTGGGAAAGACGCGCAAAGTCGGCCGAGTCCTCGCCAAAGACCACGCGCAAGGCGGGCAGGCGGGCTGCGCTCCAAAAAAGAGGGGAAAAAAAAAAAAGACCCCTTTGGCGCACAGGAGGCGCAGCGGGGCCTGGAAAAAGCGCGAGGACGGGAAGCCGCTGGAGTCCAAGTGTCACCCCCCCCAACGCATGGGAAGTAGAGTTCCTCCCCTCCCTACCCACAAACCCACAGCCCACCCCACGCCACTGTTTTAGGGACCCGCCGGGCCCTGCTAACCTGCCGGCCTTGGTGACGATCATCTCGGTGCCCAGTTGGTTGAATTCGTCCCAGAGCGCTTTCATCTCCAACTGGACGCTGACGTTGGCCACCTTGGGATTCTTCTTGACCGGAGCCTTGGTTGAAGCCGGGCCCGATCCTCCGGAGCCGGAGCCCGATCCGCTGCTTCCTCCTCCTCCTCCTCCCCCTCCTCCTCCTCCGCCGCCGCCTCCTCCTCCTCCTCCTCCACCGCCGCCGCCGCCTTCGGGAGCCTCGGAGCCCCCCGGAGGAGCTGGGTTGTTGCCCCCCGTTCCGGGCGCGAAGGAGTAGCCGCCGTGCTGCGCTTGGCCGTGGTGGTGGTGGGGTGGCTGGTGGTGCTGCTGTTGGGCCGGCGGGTGGTGAGGCGGCGGCTGGGCCGAGCAGGGCTCGTAGTGCGGCGGCGGCGGCGGCTCATGCTGGCCGTAGGTCTCTCCAGCCGGGGAGGGCGGGAGGTGGGGGTAGCCCGCCGCGGCGGCCGCGGCCGAGTTGAAGCTGCTCAGGCTGTTGGCGGTGAAAGCTGCAACATCGCAAAAGTGGGAGAGCTGCGTGAGCCACGGGCTGGAGACGGCTGAGATCATCCCAGGCAGGAGGCGAGGAAGAGAGAGAGAGGGAGAAAGAGAGAGAGTGTGTCAGGAGAGGAGGAGGAGGAGGAGGAAGAGAAGGAGGGCGGGGAGGGCACCAAAGCGCCGCCGGCCGGCCTGGCTCCCTCGCCTGCCCGCCCTGCCTTCCCTCCCTCCCTCCCTCCCTCCCGTTGGGCTCTGGGCCGCCCCGTCGCGACCCGCCTCCACTTATAGCACCCCGAACAGCCAGCCCGCCACTCCGCCGGCCGGCCAGCGGCGTGCGCGCCCTCAGAAGGGCGCCCGGAACGCGCGTCCCTGGCGGCTGCCTCCTGCGCTCCTGCCCCGCTTTTGCGCTCGGCCAAGTTCGAGCCGGAGCGCGCACGCTCCAGGCGCGCGCGCTCCACCTTCTTCCCCCCCCCACCCTCCTCCTCCTTTCTCCCCCGCCCGCTTAGAGACCCAGGCTTCGGGCTGCAGTTAAGGGGAGGTCCTGCCCTTCCCCACGTCCAACTGGGCGCTCTTCTCCCCGGAGCCGGGCCAAGTCAGCCCGTGCGCGCAAAGCCAGGCTTGGCTTTGCCCGCTGCTTCTCCCCTTCTCCGCCCAGGCGGGGTTTATGCCAGCCGAGGGCGCGCTCCTTCTGCTTCCAGGGCGCGTTCCCAGCTTGGAAGGGCGCGGCGCCGCGCTTTGTTGCCTCTTCCAGGGAGCGCGCACCGCGGCTCGTCTTGGCTTCCCTCCGAGAGCCAGCAAGTTTTCCCGCCCCTCTCCTCTCCTTTCTCTCGGCCTCCCCAGCCTGGAGGGGAGCAGGCGAGGAGGCAGCCAACAATATGCTCGCTGACGCCGCCGGGCGAGGCTGGTTCCCCCCCCCCTCCCCAACCTTGTCCGCCTCTCTTTCTCCTGGCTTGGCTGCGAGGCTGCCTCGCCGGGTGCCCCCGAAGCCGCCGCCAAACCGGTTCTCTTTGGATTTTAGCTCTCCTTCTCTCCTTCCTCTGAGAGAAGGCGGAGGGGGAGGGAAGGGGTTAACCACCTTTACAGGTAAACTCCCCCCCCCCGGGAATGTTTGACGAGGAGAGCAATCCGGTCTCGGGCCAAAAAGAAAAGGGGGGGCTGACTTCTAGAATATATATATATGTATATATGTATGAATATATATATATGTATATATGTATGAATATATATATATGTATATATGTATGTATGTATATATATATCTGCAATCTGCTTAGCGCCTGTTCTCCCGTTCGCCCTCCTGCCGGAGGAATTTGGCCTACACCAGCAAGAAGTGGAGGGGGGGCGCCAATCCCGCAACCCCCCCTTCCGACTGGCCTTGTCCCGATCCTCTCCATGGGCCCCCAACTCTAACCCTGCCCGGTTGGGCCGAGGCTCGAGGCCAGAAGAAAGAAGGCTGAACAGCTCCAGAGGGAGCCACGTTCTGAAGACTCCTCCAGCCCAACGCGTGTTAAGCTCCGGGCAATCTATCGGGGCGCCCCGAGCCTCGGAATCGGGGGCGAAAACCCCATCCATTAGGAAGGAATTTTAAATGGGGCTTATACTCGTTGTGGAGCGGGGGGGGGAGGAGGAGAAAAACAGCTTTGAGTTCGCCTTTGGAAATTTGCAGCTGGAGGAGAAGGCGCGATCCACTCTCCGTTTTATTTTAATGCCCAATGCCAGTGAAAGACATTTGGGGGGGGGAGGCGAGGAAACGAGTCAAGCGTTTTTTTCCATACATCCCTCCAACGCCTCTCGCCTTGGGGTTGGGGGGGGGGTCTCGTGCAATAATTTCCTACCGCGGTTCCTCCTCGAAAGCCCTGGGGAAGCCGCTCGCGAGAGACTTGGCTTTTGAGGCCGTTCGTGCCAGGGCTTCGGCGGCCTCGGGGCGCCCTAATTTTCTCTTCTTCCCGCGATGAAACTCTCGGATACCGTCGGTATTTATCATGCTAGAGAATAAGGGCGACGGCTTTTAATTTTTTTTATATATATTGACTGTGTGCCATTAAGTGGTTGTCGACTTTTAGGAGTATTTTTAATAGTATATATAGTAATTAGGATAGATAGATAGATAGATAGATAGATAGATAGATAGATAGATAGATAGATAGATAGATAGATAGATAGATAGATATAATAATAATAGATAACAGATAATAATAATAGATAGGTAATAGATAATGATAGATAGATAGATATAATAATAATAGATAATAGATAGGTAATAGATAATGATAGATAGATAGATAGATAGATATAATAATAAATAGATAATAATAATAGATAGGTAATAGATAAGGATAGATAGATAGATATAATAATAATAGATAATAATAATAGATAGGTAATAGATAAGGATAGATAGATAGATAGATATAATAATAATAAATAGATAATAGATAATAATAATAGATAGGTAATAAATAGATAATGATAGATAGATATAATAATAAATAGATAATAAATAATAATAATAGATAGACAGACAGACAGACAGACAGATAGATAGATAGATAGAAAATATAGATAGATGAATAGATAGATAGAAATAGAAAGACAAAAATATAGGAATTAGGATGGATGGATGGACAGACAGATATAAGAATTAGGATAGACAGACAGATGATAGAGATGTGTCTTTGTGTGTGTGTGTGTGTGTGTGTGTGTGTGTGTCTGAGTGTGCCCGTGTTTTGTGGGGAGGGGATAGAGGGAGGTAAGGAAGGATGGACAGACAGATGATATAAGAATTAGGATAGACAGACAGCTAATAGAGATGTGTCTTTTTGTGTGTGTGTTTTAGTGTGCCTGTGTTTTTTTTGGGGGGGGAGGGAGGGAGGGAGGGAGAGAAGGAGAGAGGACATTTTAAACAATCCCGAGGCCAAGCCGAAAAACCTATAAAAAGAAGTGGATAAAATCCAGAGGAAGCTGCGCTGTTTATTGTCCCTTTCCACCCTTCCTTCTTTTAAACGCTCCGCCAGTATTCTACGCTCGCTTGGGGCAGGGGAGGGGGTTTCTGGCGCTTAATTTTCAAGGTATTTTTTCTTCATTTGATAGCTACAGCGTCTCGACCTCCATCACAAATATTTGGGACAAATATTTAGGTCAAAACCCTGTGGGTTTCTCTCCTATTCTCCAGTTCAGAGCAATATTTTGGTTTTTCAAAGGCCTGTCTCAGCCGTCAAGGCGAAGCCACTTTCTTTGACCTGCAGCTCTCAAACGGAGCCACAATATTATTTTTACACGCGGTGCTTCTCCTAATCTTTTTTTTTTGTCTCAACCACCCAGTTATCCCTTCCTCTTTTATTTTATTTTTTTCATCTCTTCTGCACTGTGTAAACCGTGAATTCATTTCTTTCATTTGCATCACGCCTTTATTATTTTTACAAAGCGGGCGGATAGGAACATATCCACCACGTCGTCCTCCTATTTGCCCCCAACGACAACCCTGTGAGGTAGGTTGGGCTGAGAGAGAAGGAGTGGCCCGAAGACACCCAAGTGGCTTCCATGGCTAAGTCAGGACTAGAACTCACCGTCTCCTGGCGATTGGCTCAAAGTCGGTTTTCGTGGCGAAGGAGGGACTTGAATTCACAGTCTCCCCTTCCATCTCCTTTCTCTTATTCAGTTGAGCGCATTAAAAAAAGGCTTCTTAAGGCACTATTATCAAATTTTATTTTTGGGGGGCGGGGGGAGAAGAGAGTCACCCTGCCTCAGTTGTGACAGCGCTCCCCCAACCTGCTTGGCTAAATTAATTACATCATGGCTTGTTCAAACCAGCGTTTTAGGTGGCAGATCCAGGGATGCTAAAATAGCGCTGAGCTAAAAATGTAATTTCTTAAGGCGTGGTTGGGGGGGGGAGGGTGTCTATAAGAACAGGGCTGGCAAAGCACAAATATTGCTAGTCAGTTTTGCGTGGCAATAAGGTCTGAAACCCGGCTTGGTGGGCAGTTAATGCCAGGGATCTAGAACGCGCCATTTGGAGACCTATCTGTGGTCTCCAAATCCAGCCTAAGATAAATGCACGGAAGCTAGTTTTATTTTATTGTCCTGTAAAGGGGAAAACAAGCCATTTTCGCCTCTTTAAAATAAATGGGGGGGGGCTTTTTTAAAAAAAGGATCCTGTGGCTGACGAGGAAACATCTTGATCATTCTTCCTCCCAGATTTTGCCAAGCTACCCCTTTGATTAACCACGGTTTAGCAATTCACCGATTGCAAAGAGTCTGGACTGCGTTGAATCCCACGTTAAGCCACCTGTATCGTTCGTGGATTCTCCCCAGGGGCTAACGACCCCAAAGCCTATTGTCTGAATCCGGGGTACAGATTCCTGTATTTCTGCCTCCGACAGGCTGCATGCCACCCCTCCCCCTCTCCACGTGGACTTAACAGACACGTGAGTTTGCCCTGGAGCGGCACAGCTCGTGGCAAGCTCGCTAATATGACAAATAGCTGTCATTAACAGAGTACTGCTAGGTTTATCCACCCCGTATCTGAGCTACTCGTAGCTTCTGGATTGTTTCCCCCATCGGAAGAGACTTCCCAAGAGAAATATATATATATATATATGCACCCCAGTTTGTGTTCTATTTGTGTTCAGTGGTGAATTTACTTCTCGGGAACGAAGCAAAGCCCTTTGATAGAAAGGACTCTTAAGTTTCTGTTCCGAAGGCATGGTTACTTAGAGACAACGCGTTACTCAGAATTAACTAAGGGTTTACTCAGAGAATCCCGTTTTCTTAAGCGGCACAGCAGGATTTGCCCAGCGGGCTTCTGCTAATCCCCGAACTGTCCCGAGCTAACTTTTTCTAGGCTGACCTATAAACTAAGCAACTAACTTAAATCGAGATTCAAGCTTGTGTGAATGCAGGCGCGGTTGGATCTGGTGCCCCGGTGGACTCATTTGATGAGCCCTAAAAGAGACCCAGGTCCATAGACCTGTCAACAAAACCGTGGGGTGACAATGGGGCAGCGAGGGAGGGGAGAGGTCACTTCCCCAGCCATTTCAAGCCCAGCTATTCTAGATGGTTGACGTGTGAGGACGTAGGGGCACAACCTGGCTTCCTCCGAAACAAGCCAACTTTGGCCACTTCGTTCGCCACCTTGCCTGCATCCCAGCCACCCTGCAGTTTCAGATTCACGGCTATAGCCAACCGGTCATTCAGGCTGCCAATTCTGGGGTGTTCCTTACGGACGCGCATCTTTGAGACCACACAACCGCGGTGGGACAGGTAGATGAGCAGAAGAGACAAGATTCGGGGGTCCCACGAGCCTCCACTAAGTCTAGGCAAGACTCGGTCGTAAGTTTCCTGAAGCCGTGCTCTGAAAGGCGGTTGGATTTCAGCTGTCCGTCGACAGGACGGCAGCCGGGAACGTCGGGGAAGACCGGCATAGCTTGCTGGACAGCTAGCGCGGCTTAGCCAGGTTTCTGCGCCTCCATCCCGTAACGCGTTGGCCTGGAGGCCAGAAGCCCCCCCAAAGCCGGCCTATTCCGAGAGACAACCCCCCCCCAGTTCAATTGCAAGAGAGGGGTTCGTTTTTAAAAGGGAAGGGCAGCCTTAAGCAAGGAGGGGGTCTTTAATCGGAGGTACGTTAGTGTCCTTATTTTAGGCGAAAGAGCAGGCAGATTTAAGGGGGGTGGATGGGTTGAGGAGGGGGGATTTGTCCCCCAGGCAATCCCCTTCGTCCGAATCTCGGCCGGGGAGGGTGGTCCCCGGAGGGGTAGCGGAGAGCAGAGGAGCCCCGGAGTTTTGGACCCCCGCGCGCAGGCCAACCGTGATTTTTTCTTTCCGCGCCTTACCTTCCATGTCTCGGGTGACCGCGCTGAAATGCATCCTTCTCCGGGCGACGGCGGGGGGGTGGTAAGCTTTGCGAAGGCTCCCGCCGGCGAAGGCGGCGCCGGGCAGACAGTCCAGCGCAGGTTCTTCCTTCTCCTCCTCCTCCCCCTCCTCCTCCTCTTCTTCCTCCTCCTCCTCCTCGCTGGCGCGTTCGGCGGCTGCAATCAGAGAAGCGATGCTGAACGCGTTGGCCTTTGGGGACAGGGGGCTCGCCTCGTCCATGGGAGGCGGGGGGGGGCAGCGGGGAAACCCGCCCGACGGCGCCTTGCCAGCCCCAGCTCAGCGCTCCAGGGGCGGCTGGCCTGAACGCGGCCGGAACGAGTGGCGAGGAAAGGCAAGCGGCAGCGGAGGCTCCCAACGCGGCTCACCCCTCAACCCCCCCCCGGGGCCCGTCCCTCCCCAGCCCCTCCCCAGCCCCTCGCCGCCTTCCTCCCTCCAACCAGCTGGCGGAGAGCGCCGCCGAGCGCGCCTTCGCCCTGCCCCGCCGCCGACACCTCCCGCGCTGGCGGCAGGCAAAGGCAGCGATCCGGAGCCGTTTGCGCCCGATTCAGCCCGGTGGGATGCGCTCCTTTCTCTTCCCAGGCGCCAACTCGCCGCGGGACAAGCCTTTACACTAATACCGAAGGAAATAACATGAAAGGAAGGATGCCGACGGAGGGACGAAAGGAACATCAAAATAGCTTTTTTGGTTTTTTTTTTTAAAAAAACTATTTTAAATGATGAAATTGAATTGTTGAATTGTCCGGCGTGCGTCGACTTGTCCCTGTGGTGAGTTGACCGCGGCCGCTTGGCTGTCCCATTCCGCCAGGAATCCGGAGAGGCGAGGACGTGCGAAGTCAAAACTGGCGCACCCGGTTCTCTTTCCAAAACTTCCCCCCCCCCAAAAAAACTTGTATTCCTCCGGGTCCCTCTTTCAAGCGCCGGCGCCCCACTTTCCTCCTCTATCCCACCTCCCCATCCTTATTGATGTCGCCCGTTCCCTTACAGGGCATGCAAAGGACCCCCTTTCCGCGCCCTGTCCCCTCCGCGCAAGATCACGGGTGGGGTGCGCGCCCTGCCCGCGTAAGAGAATCTACCTGTGCCGGCTGCCGCGTTCTCTTCTATTGCTCTCTCTTGTAGTAGCAGCAGCAGCAGCAAAGATTTTAAGACAAGATAATCGAGTTTTAAGGGAGGGAGGGAAGACAAGATAAGTCTGGGAATACAAAACTCTGCACTTCGCACCCCCACTGGCCTTGACTGGGACGCCTGGAAATACCCCCCCCCCGTCCCTGGAAGATCCAGACCAAAAGCGGGGCGGGGGTCCTGATTCCAAGGACGCGTGTCTTCTTCGGCATCCCCCTATCCCAAGCAGAGCAGGGCTGGAGGCTAAAACATACAAAGAACGCTTGCAGGAATTGGGTATGTTTACTTTAATGAAAAGAAGGACTCGGGGTGATGTGATAGCCGTCTTTCAATAGCTGAGGGGCTGCCCCAAAGAAGAGGGGGATTAACCTATTCTCCAAAGCACCAGAAGGCAGGGCAAGAAGCAAGGGATGGAAACTGATCAAAGAGAGAAGCAACCTGGAACTAAGGAGAAATTTCCTGACAGTGAGAACCATTAACCAGTGGAACGGCCTGCCTCCAGAAGTTGTGGGTGCTCCATCACTGGGGGTTTTTAAGAAGAGACTGGACAGCCATTTGTCCAGAATGACATAACATAGGGTCTCCTGATTGAGCAGGGGGTTGGGTTGGATTAGAAGATCTCCAAATGTGATAGCATCCCCTGGTATAATCTCTAAGCATTGGATCTGCTGGCTGGGGCTTACGAGAGCCAGAGTGCCAGGCACCTGAAGGCGCATCGGATGCCCATAAACGTAGACCCAAGGAGAGAGAGAACAACCTTGGTAGGCTAAGCTAGTAGGGTACCAACTCATAAATCAATTTCAATCAATCAACTGTTTCCCCTGTAATGTTTTCCTTAGAGCTCAGTTTTGGTTAGGCGCTTCCTAGCTCAAGAAGGATCATACATCTACAAAACAGTCTGTTTTACCTTTCCTATCAGTGGACGACATTTAACATGTTTAAAAGTAGACAAGTGGCATGAATAATTATTATTATTGATTTGGTTTTAATCTTCCCTCCCCAGTTAAGTGCTCCTCCAGCCATTATCCTTGGCATAAAACAAGGAGTCAGAGCAGAGCCATCTCTTAAGATTATTAGCTTAGGTTTTGCATCATCCCTACACCCCCCCCCCCAATACTCTTAATTCCTGAAGCCAAAATGAGGTTGTTTTTTTTAGAGGGAGGAGCAGGCTGAAATCATAGACATGTATCGCATTAGATAACCCTCCCTCTACTAAAGTAACAGGGAAAAAAAAAAACCTTTTATAATGGTCCTAGCTATATAAAAATGAGACTAGACTACTTATCCGCTTAATTAAATTCGGATCATACTCTAAACCCGCCAAAACTCTTTTTACAACCGTTGGTATGCATCGAAGATCAGGAAGGAGAGCTACGGATTTGGGTTGATGTATCGTTTGGATTAATGCAGTTTATTCATTTTTTCTGCCTAACACAGCACAGGCATCAAAGATCCAGTGCAAATAGGCCAGGAGATACTTAAGAGTTTTTTTTTTCCTAAAGAGCATCTAGCTAGTTCTAGCATCAATACAGCATATTGGAAATAGAAGAAAGAAAGGGAGAGAAAACGAATTATTATATTCCCAAAACCGACACAATTCGAAACAGCAAGAAAAGTCCTTCGAATCCGCACGTATTTCTATATTTGTTACACAATTTTTTGTAGCTGCTCAACTCACATGGGGAGGTGTACACTGGGGAAGTGTACAACATTTTTTTAAAAATCCAGCTAAAAACACACAATTTAAACCCCACCTCCACCATGAATTACCAATAAGATCAGTGTTAATATTAAACAAAGGCAAGGAAGGGTTGTTTGAACTGAAGATCAGGTCTGCATAAAAACGAACACTTTAGGAGAAGTCTAAAATTCAGAATGTTGACATTTCTTTGAGCAATGGATCCATTGTTTTATTACGGTCACAAGCCGGCTTCAACCAGTAGAGCTCACAGACTTTATATCTAAATACAGTGAAACGCAATTCAAGCAAACTAGAGAGACAGCATCCCTATCTTTTCCCCATCTGGAGGTTAACCCATTCAGGTATCGCTAACAGGAGGGAAAATTCGGAATTTACCCAACAAGAATGGAAAATATACGGTCCAGGAGTTTTAACCTGACCCAGTTGCCCCCAGAGATCCCGGTTCCAGGCAGGTGTTTGTTTTTTTGTTTTGTTTTGCTGGAGCCATCTTGTTCTATTTTTCCAATCCAGCTTTGGGGAATCTTTCCTCCTCCAGGATTTGCCAGACAAGGCTTGGTGGATCGATCCACTGAATTGGAGGGGGGAGGGGGTGGCTTCACCCTAAGCAGGTCCCCTGAGACCAAACGACCCTCCTGGAATCCGATCTACAAAATGCATCTCTCTTGAAAAACTGCCGACTGAGGAAAAGTCAGTGTGTATGAGGTTATTGTGTTTGACATATACATAGGAAAGACCCTCTTTTCAGAATCTGGGTCCGTGACTGACACGTCCACGGGGACCCGTGGAAATAAATCTCAAGGAGCTAGTTCAGGTTTGGGGCTGCCCCACCAGCATCTGTGTTCTGTCTTTGGCTTCCTGGCTCATTGACCCCAATATGTCGAACGGACGTTCTGAGTTATCCTTTGTTCCCAGATTGTTTGTCCACCCGCTTACCTAAAGCAGCAGCTCAAGATCCAGGAGGGTAGAAGTTATAGCTGAAAACATCTGGAAGGGACAGAGTGGCAGAAGAGGGTTGGAGTGCCAATTCTGAGGGGGCCTTGGTGCTCGCTCTCTAAGATGGATTATGTCTAGCACTGGTGATGTTCCCTAGTTGGGGTCATGAAAAGTCTGCAAGAAAACCACCAAGCTCAGACAGCATCAAGGGCCCCACAGTTTTCGTCCTCCCCCTCCTCCTCCCTCTCCCCCCTCCTCCTCCCCCAAACCCCATCCCTTTCTAGCATTGGTGAAGTTATCTAGTTTAGGTAATGAAACGTCTGCAACAAAACCACCAAGCTCAGACAGCATCAAGGATCCCATAGCCCTTCCTTCCTTCCTTCCTTCCTTCCTTCCTTCCTTCCTTCCTTCCTTCCTTCCTTCCTTCCTCCCTCCCTCCCTCCCTCCCTCCCTCCCCATAAATTCCACTCCTTTTTAGCATTGATGATGTTACCTAGTCTGAGTAATGAAATGTCTGCCAAAAAACCAAAAACCCACCAAGTTCAGACAGCACCAAGGACCCCAGAATCTTCTTCTTCCTCCTCCTCCTCCTCCTCTTCCTCCTCCTCCTGCAAACCCCACTCCCTTCTGGCACTGATGATGTTACATGGTTGGGTCATGAAACGTCTGCAAGAAAACCACCAAGCTCAGAGAGCACCAACAGCCCCAGAATCCTCTTCCTCCTCCTCCTCATCCCTGCAAACCCCGCTCCCTTTTAGCAGTGATGATATTCCCTAGTTGGGTCATGAAACATCTGCAAGAAAACCACCAAGCTCAGACAGCGCCAAATAATCCTCATTTCAACCTTGAGCTACAAATATCCTCCATTATTAGTAATCCAGAAATGATTAGCTGGAATTGATGAGCAGATTCACACAATATGTAGGACAACAGCAGTCTCTTCCCCCCCAAAAAAAACCCTCACTAGCCTAAAACTCCTGACCCTTCTGGAACTTAATCTAGCAAATAGTGTGGCTCCAGATTGGGGCTTTAAACAGGGGAGGAGGAGATGTAAAAATGGCTTGAGAGATCCTTTTCCTGAAGGCTCTTCAGCCGAAGAACATCTAGGAGAACTTGATTCATGGGGCTCAGCTTCCTCCCCCAAGAAATGATTTGGGGGAAGGGGGCAGAAGAGAAGCAGCTGCCCCCATAACTCCCTTATACTGGCTCCTGTTGGCTATTTTGTGCGCATCCTCTTAGCTGTCAGTCTTGCTTTTCGGCCTTCAGTGGCAGACATCACCAGGAAATTCAGAGCATCCTATTTATAGGGTCTGTTTTCCCAGGAAAGAAGATAAGTCGGAACCATTTGTTAGAAAGCCAAGGCTGGGCTCCGCTTCAAAATAAAAATAAAAATGTTCCATTCAAGGATAAGGCTGTTGCGCCTTGGGATGAGAGGCAATGACTCGGTAAACAGATGCAAAATCCATTTAGGAAACAGAAGAAGCTGGGGGCAAACGTTGTGACAAGCCAAGACATTTAAATCATGGTTTCTTGGAACATCCCAGTGGCGTGCTTGGTGCATTGTGT